GGCCGTGCGCTCGGCCCAGGCCACAGAGGGCCGGGCCCGCAGGAAGGGGCCCAGCCTGCCCGCCCCGCCTGAGGCCTTCACCTACGAGACGGCCACGGCCAAGTGCAGGGAGAAGCTGCCCGTGGAGGACCTCTACTTCCAGTCCTGTGTCTTTGACCTCCTCACCACGGGGGATGTCAATTTCATGCTGGCTGCTTACTATGCCTTTGAGGACGTGAAGATGCTTCACTCCAACAAGGACAAGCTGCACCTCTATGAAAGGACACGGGTGCTGAGCCCGGGCAACACGGCGCCCACGGGAACGCATCCCGCCCTCTGGGTAGCACTGCTGTGTTTGTGTTGGCTGTGCTTGTTATAGAGGTTTGCTCCTTCACACCTTGGAGAGAAGGGAAAGGGGAGCAGGAGGCAGCCAGAGATGAGATGCAGGTGTTGGAAAACGAGAGGTTGGACATCAGAGCCACGTGGGTTGTCCTCAACTCAGTCTCTCTCTTGGTGCAAGTCCTCCATCTTCCCAGCTCTTGCCTGGGAGCAATGTGCTGCCAATGGGACCAGACAGGAGTTTTTGCTGGACTGTACCTTGTCTGGACCTTGCTCACTTCCCCCTCCTCCTGCTGCCATTCGAGGGGGTGCTGGGGAGCCCTTGTAGCACTCCCCTGGTCCCAGCCATGCACATGGTGACTGTGACACTGGCGTGTGTGAACATGGCTTTGTCTGCAGAGAGCAGAGCCCACGAAGAGCAGTGAGACAGGACCAGCACAGCAGGGCAGGATGCCTGGCTCACCAGGGCTGGGCTCTGCTTTTCCTGCTCTGCCCACAGCCCTGCTGTTGCAGAAGGTGCTGCAAGGGGCCAAAATGGTGGGCAGTGATCACACGCTTGCTTGGCTGCTGGTGCCAGGCACCTTCTGGGTGGAAGGAGGACACGTTCCTCAAGCCTTGACCTGCATTTTTTGTGGTTCAAAGGCCTCCCCTGTTTTAGCCAGTTCACCTGGCTGATTTCACTCAGTAGTTTGATTCCTGTCTCCCTTGTCTCTGCCTGGACCCACCATGGACTCTTGATGGCAACGGGAGAAACCTGGCCAGTATTCAAGGGGTTTCTGCAACTTCTGCCCAGCATTGGATGAGTTCCTCACACCGTTCACTCCCTGGTCCCCTGACACTGGCAGCAGGGTGGCTGCTCAGTGGGAGACCCAACTGCACCTCCCTCCAGCCCCTCCCCGCCTGTGGCATGGCCTGGGATGGAGCAGGAGCATGGTGCTCTTTATTTTTGCTGCTAGGTCTCTGCTCTGCTCCCCATCCTGGGGCCGCGACTTGCAACCCCATTGCAGACCAGTTGCACCTTAAGCCCTTGAGGGCTTGAATCAGAAATGGGGCGATGTCAGAATTCAGCCAGGAGATGGGATGCAGCAGAGGACCCCCCCAGCTGCCTCCTGATGTCTGTTCCCTGCCTCAAAACCATCCATAATCTCCTTCCCCCACCACATAGTGCTGCCCATCTTCTCCACTCCGTGTTCCTCTGTGGTTCACCCCATGGCTCACTGAACAAACATCAGGACCACCTTTGGTCTGCGCCTTCAAGACCTCCTGGTGGGTTTTCCCCACCATTCCTCAGGGGGAAGTTCCCAGAAACAAGCCCCAAAACACATGTCACACTTGGGGCACCTCCTGCTCTCAAATGGGAGGTCTCTGGGCGTGATGAGACAAGCTAGCACCAAAAGAGGTGGGAACAGGCTTGGTTTGGCAGTCTGAACTGGTGCCAAGAGGCAGCCTGGTGTAAATACTGAACATGACTATTCATTGTGTCCTTACAGCTCTAGAGCTCCATTTGTAAAGCAGCAGAGAAATGCAAACTTGTGTCAATTGATGTAATTTATATTGTCTCTTTAATATATAGAGCCCTGGCATTGATCTCGTGTGACTGTACAGATGAAAAGATGTAATTGGTTTTTAAATGTTTAAGGAAAGAAAAGAAACAAAAAGATGTGTTTACTACTTTGCTCCTTGCTTTGTTTGCTGATGCCCCAGATACTCTGTTTAGGGAGATTTTGAAATAAGGATATCACAGTTTGGAGGTGCTGAGGGGAGCCAGCCACTGGACCATGGCACTGGACAGTTTCATTTCCCAATGCACTAATGCTCAGCCAGGCTGATTTGGACTTTCCTTTGTTCTAGAGAAAACAAATTTTTATCTTCTCTAGAAGTTTAAAACACACTTTTAAAAAGCTAAAATCTGTCTCTGGGCAAAGAGGTTTACCCCATAGCTAAATGCAGCTGTGCACAGCCTCCCTCTGAGCACACCGTGCTGCTTGAAAGCTGCCTGAGCTGGCCCAGCCACAGCGTGCTAACAGGTCAATAATCCCCTTAAGAGCTCCCCTTCCTATAAAACAATCACCCCACAGCATGGCACGCTGTGGTTTGGGGACAGTTTCCATCCAAGGAAAGTCTGGTTATGGCTTGGCTCATTCCCTCTGTCCAGATGGGTGCTCCAGTGGTGGCTGGTGGTGTGAGGTGGTTGTTGGGGTATCCCTGTTTTAGAAGCAAACAGTGAAGCACTTTATTTTGGTTGTGTTTGACCCAGTTCTGGTTAAAGGTGAAGTGTGGCCAAGAAGGACCCGATACTTGGAAACAAATAAAACAAAAAAAATACATAGGCAAAGGAGGGACATGCTGAAAATGGCCCCCCAGCTCCTCCCTGTGCTGAGACCCACGGGAGTGTCACTGCCTGTAAATATTGTAAATTATTTATTGAGAGAAACACAAGTAAAGTTTGAGGTTTTTTTTGACAATAAACGAGTGGGTCTCGCTTTGTTCCCCATGTGTGTTGCCTGGTGCTGTTCTCCACTCAGGATGAAGTGTTGCCCCATTTCTGCACTCACTCCCAAGCAGCTTTCTTCCACCTGAAGGACCCTCTGACAGCTCATTTCTGTCCTGAATCCTACTGAGAATTTCACTCTGGAGTTCAATTTATCTATAGCCAAATGATAAAATTAAAAAGGGGATGGGGGTGAAAAAAAAAATTTGTATATGGGGGTAATAGACCATTACAGCCCTGCTTCTCTGGGAAGGGAAATGTGCAGCAATGGGGTCCCAGTGGGTATCACCACGCCTCCCCTGGTCACCACAGCAGATTGGGGTGTACATCCCAGTAATGGCAATTCCTCCCTTTGTTGGGCAGCTCTCCTGTCCCTGCTGGGTTTGTTGCTGCCCTCTAATGAGGAAAAACAAAATTGCATTTTTTTTTCTCCTGTTAAATTTTCCAGTTTTGAAATCTGAAGGGACTCTGTCCCAGCAGCTGGGGACAGGGAGCTGCTGAGGGCAGGTGGGGCACCCACACCAGCTCAAAACACACATTATTTGGGTGAATCCGTGCAGTGATGCCCAGCACCAGAGATGTGATGGACATCTGGCCTTCCCCTCATTCAAAGCCCAGAGAACTGAGCAGTGTTTGGAAACATCCAAATCCACTTCCTCTGCCACTCCTTGCATGGGAGAAATGGCTAAATCTGAAAATTCATCTGCAAAGTGTCCAGAGTGCAGGGGCCAGGGGTCTCCCTCACTGACTATTCTGCTAGGAGGTCACCAATTGTGCCCTGCTGTCCAGCCTGGGGCAGTGAGCAGGCAGCCCCTGCATGTTCCAGTGGGACCAAGTGCTGATGTGACCCCTGAGGCACAGCAATGCCACATCCCCATTAACCACACAAGACAGTAAATCATCCCCAGGAGCTAAGTGGGGATGTGCAGGGACATTGGTGGTGGCAGTGGTGGCCTTGTGGCACCTGGGAGAGGTTCAGATTGCTCTCCAGACCATGTTGAGGGCTGGTGAGGGGGCAGCCCCTGGGGGATCCAGGGCCCCATCCCTTCACTCTGTGATGGGCAGCAGCTCAAGTGCGGTGCACCACCTGGGGCCTGAGCCCCACTTTGGCTGTGTCTGCCCATGCCCTGGCCTTTGGCCACTGTCCTGGGCTCTGAGTGCTTGGGGTGAGGCAGGACCAGTTATCCAGGAGCAGCCACAATGCAGAGGGATGTTGCTCACCAAAAATGAGCTTTTTGCTAGGAACCAGCTCCCTCTAGAGGGTCTGCCCCTCTGTAAAGCACAGCCCTGTCCCCTGACTGGGGTGGGTGCAAGGCAAGGTTGGGGGAGACACCTGGCAGCATCAGGGTGCTCACATCCTTACCTGCCTGCTTAAATAAAAATAAAAACGTTTGAAAAGTCACTGGTAGACTTCTGGTAGATTGACCCAGGCACGTACAGCCAGACCAGCTCCCTGAGCCCCTGTGCCTCCCTGCAGCTGAGCCCCATGGCCAACAGCCAGTCACTCTTTCCATTAGGAAATCCATTTTTCAGGAGCATATAACTCAGCTGTGAAATTTCACTCTTGGCTGAAACTTGGCTCAGCAGCAGAGAGACTGGGAAGGGCTGGACCCAGTGGCTACAGGTGTGAAAAGTGCGTTTTACAATGAGCTTTTATAACTTGGGAGAAACAGCTCCAATCCCTGCTCTGTGTGGGCCTCAGTGTGAGCAGTGCAGGGTAAAGACCAAACCAAAGCAGCCACTGGATGCCATCACATCCCACCTGGAGAGGCACATCCTGCCCAGGAGGGGCTGGGGACAGAGAGGAGAACTCACTGATGCAGCAGCAACAACACTTCTCCTAGAGAAAGGGGAATTCTCCCCAGAAAAGGTAAAAAAGAAAATTTACACATCCACAGAGATCCATAAAACACAGAGGTGGGATAAACACATAATCATCAGTATCATCCCAGTGAAATCCTGGTGGGTCTGGGTTAGAGAACGTATAGCTCCTTCTGATCAGGTGGAAATTCCCATTTGAAGAAGCTTCCAAGTCTTTATCAGCACAGACTGTGAAACTATGCAAAAACAGCCAAGCAGAACATGCTTATTCCTGCACAGTGAAAATATCCATGGTGGCTTGGCTGTGGATGGCAGGAAAGGGCCCTGTGATCCCAAACCAGCCCCCAGAGACACCACGCTGGGGCCCTTCTGAAAATCTCAGTAACACTTTTTAATATACAAGAATCAAAAGTACAGCAGTTTTACAATGTAGGAAAATTTCATACATACTATATAAACAACATATTTACATCAGAAATCACTAGGACAGTGGCATTTCTTTCACAAATATAAATTAATATTAATTACTGTTTTTAGTCAACAGGTTTAAAAGTCCGTATTTTTACAGTAAGAGTCCTTCCTCTCCCCTGAGGGGAGGCAGAGGTGGGGAGGAAACGGGTGAAAGCAGAAAAATATTTTTGTGTGGATCACAAACCATTCACACAAGGACTTCAGCACTCGGTTCCGTGTCCATTTTGGTTGGGACCACATTGCCTGTCCCCACAGCAAGTTTTGGTCTGCAGGATTTCCACCATGTGAACTCGTAACTTTACACCATTTCCAAAGCTGTCAGGCTGAACAACTCTTTTTTTTTTTTTTTTTTTAAATTTAAATTGAACCCCAGCAAGTTACTGCTATTTTCTGCAAAGAGGTTGGAGGGAATCCCACAGGTGGTTAGGAAGGAAGAGCTGTACCAAAGCTGTCACAAACACCACAGGGAAGTTCATGGCTGTGGATGTGTCCCCTCTGATCCCACTCCTGTCCCCATGACTGTGTTTGGTTGTGGTCCCTATGCTGAGGGGACATAAAATGCATAAGTGTGTGTGTGTGTGCTCAGGGAAGACTTTCTCCCAAATCTCCTTCTCCAGGTTCACTAAAGCCAAACCCAGCAAACATTCACCCATCATGAGTGGACGTGATGTGACTCCAACATCAGGCTAAAGTGACAGTGGGGACAGCTCTCCAGTGGATATGGGTAAAGCTTTTGCTGTTGCACAAGAAGGAAATCCCAACCAACCTCAGATAAGCAGAAAACCCCCACATCTCAACACAGAAAATGCCTCTTGCTGGGATCCAAAGTTCTCCTGCACCAGCCCCTCACACTGGTTGCCAGTATTGCCTTTGCTACACGAGTATGGCACAAACTTCCCACCGTGACAGCACCGTGACAAAAACAGCAATTCTCTTTGCCCCTCTGAGGCCACCTCCATTTTCACATTAAAAGCTAATACCTCTGAAAAGAAAGGACCTCTTTGTTGAGATTGCACAGCCTGCAATCACAGCTTAGTGGGAAACACCACGGAAAGGTGCTCTCTCCACACCTCCCACCCCTCGAGGGGGACTGTGGAAGACTTGCCTTCACCTCACCCTGCACAGGTAAACACAAGTGTAACACTATCAGGGCAGCAGGTGCCCCAAGGAAACAAAACTGCCCTGAATTCGGTGGAAATCTTGCAACATAAAAACAAAAGGGGAACAAAACACTTCCCGTGTGTCCCCTTGGAGCAGCGGGATGGGGAGGAGTGATGGCAGCAGATTTCCAGGGATACACTGCATGGAGGAGTTTTAGTGTCAGTTTGCATGCACCTTCCAAGGCACTGCCTGGAGTCAGGAAGCCAGCCCTGAACACCCATCTGCCCTCAGTCCTTTGGGGAAGGGACATCACAGCTTATTAGAGTCAAATACTGGCATCTTAATAGGAGGCCCAGCTTCTGTGCCCTGCCAAACAGGAGTCTGGAACAGCCTGGTCTTTAATACTGAGCTCTGGGTGGTGATGGTGATTCAGCCCCCGACACCACGCTCAGGGCAGCCTTTGTGGTCTCCAGGGAACTCCAACCTGAAAAATTATCACCCAAGGTGCTTCTGGCCAGCAGGATGTGCACACCAACCCCTCACCACACCAGTGTCCAGGATGGATGCTGGTTTGCAACAAATACTGTGGTTTGAATACTTGGAGTGTTTGCCCTGAAGTTCACTGAGCTGGGCTGCACATTCCTCTTTTCCCTCTGCCACGCTGGGCTCTAAGACATTTGCTCCAAGGAATTCCTCATTCTGTCCCTGCTCACTGAGGTGCAAAGTCCTCAGGTTCATTTCCAATTTAGACAAACAAAAGGTCTATAAGTGCAGGTACTTTTAGCAATTCAGAGTCACTGCTGACTGCTGGAAGGTGACCATTCCCTGAGCAGTGATCACTCCACTGGATTCCTATTTCACTTTGCTCTACATCCCCTATCCTTCAGTCACAGTAAAGGTTTGTGATCACTGCTTTGTGAAGCACAGAGAGAAATGATTTGCCCAAAGACCAGAGGCAGGAAGATTAGGAGTTCCAGTATCCCCAGAGCCATCTTTTGATCTTGCACCTCCCAGCCAGCATCTATTAGTTCCTGGACCACCCAAGCTGCCCATGCCAGAAGAGAAGAGTTTTGTTATGAACTTCTGAGCCCTGTCCACTGGGAAATACTGTTCTCATCCCAATTTCTTTCCTGATGGTTAGAAGTGAACTAAGCCTTTTGCTGGCCTTTTTTTCCCAGCTCACACTTACCCCCAGAGTCAAGATTTGCCAGTTCCAGCCCTGGAGAAGGGAGGAAGATCCCCCCACCTCTTCTGTTGCAGGGGACACAACAGCAATCAAAGCAGAGCCAGTTTCTTGAAATGGATAAAGACACGAAAATGATAACATGGCCAGGAAAGTGATGGATTGTCACCAGCATGGCTCCAGCTCCTTTGGAGTCATTCTGCAGGGACATCAAGGCCCTCTTTCAACCAAGTGTGGCTGCTGAGGGACTTTCCTGTCCCTCCTTGAACATATCTTCCCATTGCACCATGCTGGTGACACACAAATCCCAGCCCAACCAGTTTATCCCCAACCCCAAAGCAGCATCTGTCACGTAACATCAAGTCAGAGCAGGCACACAGCCTTCTGCACCATCCTAAGCAGCATCAATCTGCCTTCTTCTGAGGAAACACTGGCTGGGGAAAAACTCCCTTGGGTCCATTGGACTGAGGAAAACAAAAACAAAACAACAAACGAGGCAGCAAGGCTGGTTCCATGACAGAACAGTTCAATGGTAAAAAAGGGGAAAGGAAATGGGAATCTAAACCAGAATCAAGAACTAGGGAAAATCTTCCTCCACCCACTCCCCCAAATTCCTCCTTGACCCAGCCAGATGATAGCAGCATGTTCAGAGTTTCTGGTTGCTGGCTTAGAGAAAGCAGCCACCGTCGCACCAGTCCCAGGATCTCGGACGTGCCCTTCGCCCTCTCGGTCGCTCTACGCTTTCCGAATGTTCCAGTTATAATCTGGATTGTTTTTCTGTTCCAATGACCTATCCAGAGGTGACCTGTGATCAAGAGGTGACTTGGAATCGTGGGGGGATTTCTGCGAGGGGGGCGAGCGAGGGTCCGACACCGGAGGGTGGGATGGAGGGAGGGGCTGTTTGTAATCGCCCAGTTTGTCTGTGTGGAAGGACCGGTAGTGGTCCGAGGGTCCTTGCCCGTGGTAGCCCATGGGTGGCCTGTGGTCAGACATCCTCCTGAAATCCTGCTGGTGGTAGTTCTGAGGCCTGAAGTCCTCGGACCGCCGGCGTTTGGAATCGTGGTGGTGCCTGTGCAGAGAGAAATGGATGGAGATCAGCTCCCCAAGCCCACTGAGGTGAGGGCAATGTCTTAGGTTGGAAATGGGTGTGTGTATTCTATTCCTATCTGTGGAGCGGTTACCTTCTTAGTTACCTTCTTAGTTTTCCTTTATCTCTTCCACATCCAATCCTCCCTCTAGGAAATATCTTATTAATGGCCCAGTGAGTGTCACTGAGTGACTGATAAAATTACATCATCCCACTGGGAGAAGCTCCACCCAGGGGGAGGAGCCAAGCATTCCTATCTGGATATAATCAGAGGTTTGGAGCACCACAGGCATCCTTTTCCACTAGATTCCCAGAGGAGCAGCCTTTTTCCCACTGGATTCCCAGAGGAAGACCAGGCTCATCTACACTACACTAGAAGTACTACTACCTTCCTTCAGAGGAAGACTACACTGTTCTATAGGATCACTGCTCCAACAGAACCACACCTGGCACTGCAGGAGGGCTGCAGCCACCATTTAATGGTATTGCTGCCAACACCCTGACCCAGAGGGTGTCAGGTCATATTCTGACTCTGTCAGTGTTATTTTGTATTACTGCACTGTTTATTTTATTTTTTATTTTCTTCCCTAACAAAAAACTGTAAAAAAGTCTTTGCCGTAATTCCAAAATTACACCAGTTCAGAGGGAGGGGGTTACATTTTCCATTTCAGGGGAGGCCCTGCCTTGCTCAGCAGACCCCTGTGTGTCCAGACGCAGTCAGACCGTCGCTCACCTGTCGTAGTAGTCGCGGTGGCCGCGGTGGTCGCGGTCACTGTTGTACTGCTCGTAGGGCCGCTTGCGGGACAGGTTGTTTGGTCGGTAGTTGCCGGAGCTGCGGTGGGGGTCCCCCCGCGAGCGCCGCTCCCCGTAGTGGTGGTCCTTGTACCAGTGCTGCTCGTACTGATGGTGCCTCTCCCCGCCCCACATCTGGTTGCTGTTGCCGCCGTAGTTGAACTTTCGATCCCTCTGCCAGTCTCCTCGGTCTGCCGTGAGCAAAGAGCACCTCTGAATCTCTGTCGTGATTTGGTTTGAGCCCATTTGCTTCCCTGAATTCTCTAAATAACAGCTATTGACACCCCTTTAACTTTCTCCTCCCTAAACAATGTGGGCCCATTTTATTATTTGAATTTCTGTCACAGACATCTTTCATGAAAAATCCTTTCCTTAGGATTTTTCCTCCTGAGAAGCTGAGAGGCCTCAGGAACAAAATGTAAACAATGATTATCTGCTGCTGTGGAATGCAACAGGTGCATCTGTGATTGGCCCATGTGGTTGTTTCTAATTAATGGCCAGTCACAGTCATCTGGCTCAGACAGAGAGCCTGAGCCACAAGCCTTTGATATGATTCCTTCTTTTTCTATTCTTAGCTAGCCTTCTGATGAAATCTTTTCTTCTACTCTTTTAGTATAGTTTAAATATATCATAAAACAATATCAAGCCTTCTGAAACATGAAGTCAGATCCTCATCTCTTCCCTCATCCTAAGACCCCGGTGAACAAATTTCTTTATCACTATTTCTTTATCATCCTCACAAATCTTACTCATATTCTTTTCCTCACTACATCACCACGTTTTCTAGCCCAGCAGTAAGTACATGGCAGCATATGTTCTATCCCATCCCCTTTAAACCTGAGCAGCCACAAGTCCCAGAAGGACTTGTGTCCAGGAGTGTTAGGTCAGAAGGGAAGGTTTCTCCTGGCCTGCCAGCCTGGCTCACCTGTGTTGCTGAAATGTCTCTTGTTTGGGTGGCCGTAGTTGTCCCGGGGGTGGCCGTGCATCTGCTGCTGGGTGTGGGAAGGGGGCATGTGGATCTTCTGGGAGTGAGGATTGTGAGGCACGTGGGACTGGGACATCACGGAATCGCGGCTGGAGCCTGACGGCTCTGGGCGGAATGGCTTCTTCATGCTGGACATGTCCTCCTTCTTCTTCTGCTCCTGCAAGGGGGAACAGAGGGATACAGCTCAGCTGCTCTCCCACCAGAAGAGCAGGACCATGAGCAATGACCTTGTCTGCAGGCTCTGGATTTTCCTGCCTCTTTGAGGTGAGCCAACTCTGTGCTCAAGAATGGCACAAACGTGGTAGAGGACAGGCAGAGTTTGGCAGCTCTGCTTTTACACCTGATCTCTACAGGGCAGCACGCCCAGGCTTTTCACTCCACAGGGAACTGAACATCACATGCCACACCGAACAATGCTTTTGCTTGGTCAGGACAGCCAGGACAAAGTGACCAGAAATACCACATAGAAAAGAAGGCAAATGCAATCAGACTGTTTAGACATTGAGAAAATCACAGTGACAACAACAAAGAACACCCACGGTAAGAGGCAGAAAGAATTGGCACTTCCAGTGCAACAACTTTTAAGGACAGAAATTAAAGGGAAAGCACTTCATGTCTCACCTCCTCTTCCTGTGATCTTTTCTTATGAGCCATCTTGTAGAGTTTGTGTAGTTTTCTGGCATCAAATTCTGTGAATTTTGAGACAAATATCCATAGGTTCCTAGAAGGACACAAACATTTTCTGTTAAGTGCTACAGCAGCAGTTTAACTGCCAATGACTTCCAAACCAACATCAAATTCCTTCTACCCTTTCGGGAAAACAGTCTCAGCTCGGGACAGGATGATCAGGAGGGCTGGAAACATATTCTTCAAAGTAAAATAAAGAGGTTTGGAGTGGTTTGTATGATTTAGCTTTGAAATCAGTTTTAATGAAACTAGGACAACTGGAAGACAAAACATTTGTCCGGGACTGGTGATGGAAGACCATCCCTGGAAGTGTTCAAGGTTCAGGCTGAATGGAGCAATCAGGTCTAGTGAACTGTGTCCCTGCCCATGGCAGGGGGTTGGAACTGGGTGGTTTTAAGGTCCCTCTCAACCCAAACCATTCCATAATTCTGTGAATTTGTAGGCTGAGTGGAGCAGAAATCACAAGATTTCATGGGTTAAATAAGAGGCAAATGGCACATCCATCCACAAAATATCCAGCATCCTCTGACTACCATTTCAAAATACCTAGACCAGCTAAGGAAAACAAAATGATCCCTCACCTTCTCCACAGCTTGATGTGATCCTGGTCAGTGTAGGCTTTAAGGCACTCAGAGATGCGATCACCGATTTTCAGGAGGCAGTTTCGTGTGTGCTCCAGCTGTTCTTGGACTGTCAGTCCCTTATCAGGCTTATCAAGTTGCTTCAGTGCTTTTTTGACTGGTCTCATCCTTTCCTTGCACTTGAAAGAACAACAGAGAGGAGAAAGTGATTAATTTGGCAGAGGGCTCTACATCATTGCCCTGTTAATTGAAAAGAAGCTTGTTTAGCTTTATCTGGCCATTAGGCAAGGAGAAATCAGCTATAAAATAGCAAATTGTTAGACAAGTTGCAGACAATCATCAATAAAAGACTTTTCCCCACCTCCACTGCCCCTGCCTTTTAGGAGGGAACAATTTGCTTTGCAAGCAGTAATCACACAGTCTGCCCCTGCATGGATCCCATGGCAGGCAGGGAAGTGTATCCAAGCCTCCACACACTGAACCAGCCATTTCAGCTGAAAAACTGCTCAATTCAATCCTGTCCAATCCCATCTTTGGTCACTTTAATGCTTGCTTTTACCAAAACTAGCAGATATGAGATGAAAGCACCCTGGTTTTCGGCCTGGGCACATCAACACCATGCACAGATAAGGATTCAGACAGGTTTTTTGACTGCCTGCCTGGATCTTTTGTACATCACAGAAGGAAAGTTAAAGAAAAAGACAAAAAAACCCACAGGACCTTCAACAATACAGAGATTTGCACTGAGAGAACTGCTTTTAAGAAGTGGTATTTCAGCCAAGGAGAATCTGCCATGACAATTTTACTAAAAGGCAATCTTTACAATGAGCCTTCTGGGCATGTTTGCTGTGAGAGCATTTACACAGCTCTGCACCTCCAACAAGGTCACCCTCAAAACTCCCCTGCTTTTCCTGGCCTGAAAGAACTTCAGTGGCTCCTTGGCTTCTACAAGAGAGGGAATGTAAGGCTGCAGGGTGCTCTGTAACTTCGCTGGGCTCTCAGCACTGCCCTCCCATTTCCCAAGGAAAATACAAAATACTCACTATGCTGAATGTTTCTTGGTCCAGATCATCATCCTCATCTTCTCCAATGGGGATTGGCTCGCTCCCTGCAGTGATGTGGACAGGACCCTGTGATCTCTTCCCTTTACTTCCAGATTTGGCCTCTGCACCTTTAGGCTTTACAGGGACAAATTACACACATCACACAATGAGCCAGGATGGAGGATCCCCAGTGACCCAGCTAACAACCTCCACACTATTGTTACTGGCAGCTGCTAAACCTGGGCACTGCTCCTACAACTTTCCTCCCAAAATCTCCAACTGTTGAGCTGCAATGGCTCTGTTTAACTTTATGTCATCCATGAGGGAGAAGTCAGAGCCAACAGTTTGGACATGAACACAATATTCACACTCATGGGGAGAAACCAATGTTGAAGACTTGGAAGAGAGGTTAAAATAAAGAGTATCTCTCCCTTGCAAAGGACAGAGCTCAGGGTAGTCTCATGTCTACAAACATCTGCAACTTTATGTGATATCACTAGCTCTCAAATCATGGCCTGTTCATGTACATTTTTACCTATATGACTTACTTGCAGTCAAAGCCACACCAAAAATCTCTGGAAAGCAAACTTTCCCCTACATAGGCAACAAAACTTAGTTTGCACTTATGACCTCAGTGTCAAAACACACTGGGCATGTAGTACATACCTGTTCCTTGGACAGGTACTTCAGGTCATTATTATGGAAGCTTTTACCCCCCTTCCAATTTGCACCCAGCCTCAGGGCAGTTGTACCCAAAATTCAAGAGACATTTGAGTCTCCAGCATACCAGTGATGTTGAAATACTCATTCTGTTGAGTCCTGAACAGTGACAATGACAACTTACAGTCTTGATGGTGTGGACACTTGGGTCATTGGGTGAGTTTAAATTAAAGGGGAATACAGACAAGGACCTGCCAATCCTGTGATAAATCACAGCTGGACAGAACTTTGATCTGAGTGCTCCAGGCTCTTTCCTTAGCATCAGCTCTGTGGCCATATCCATGTCACAGGGACAGCTGTACTTTAAAGGCAGCCTGACAAAATCTCTTCCGTTCTGGTCACATTCCATGAAGCTTTAGGACATATTACATTTTCTACTTTTTATGGCAATTCAGAAGGGCTGAAAAAGGGATACCCCCTCATCCCACAGGGCCTTTAATGAATCCTAAGTCCCACACTTTGTCCTGCTCAGGGTCTTCCCTATCATGCTGCTCCTGAAAGTATCCCATACCTTCTCTTTCTTGTCTTTTGTCTTCTTTTTCTCCTTATCGCTCTCCTTTTCTTTCTTAGAGGATGTCTGTTTTTCCTTGTTCTCTTTGTTCTCTTTCTTCTTCTGTTTCTTTTTCACTGGGCTCTTGTCCAAGCCATCCTCCTAGAATATCAGTCACAGCACAAAGCTGGAGTCCCTCACCTCATGTACATTTTCTTCCATAAAACATCCTTAAAACACAGGCAACTTTTGAGGTCCATCCAGATTTACCCTCACACCTCTTTAGGCAGACATCGAGCCCTGCTCAAGCAGCTGCCATCCCCCCAGAGGTGACAAAAGGGTATGAAAAGCAGAGCAGCCCCACTCTGTGACAAGCTGGCAAGCTGCAGAGCAGCCCTGCTCTCCTGTGCCAGCTGCACTCCAGAACGATCAGCCCCTGAGGTAGATACCGATCAGCACACGAACAAAAAGCCTCAGACTGCAAGCCAAACCACTCAAAGTCTGAACATTTTCTAAGCAACAGCATGACCTTGGTAAACTCCAGCCTCACCACGGGCTGACGTGCCCAAAAGGAGAGGGAAACAATTCTTCTTTCTCTCCTTTATAAGGACAACAGGCTTTGTCCTGAGACAACCTTTCCCCCGAGTCAATGTGTGGATGTTTGTGGCCATTCTGGGATGCCCCAAATCCCTTAAAGCACTGAGCTGAAAGAATAGGTGGGAAAGGTCCTTCTTTCACACCAATAGCTGTATGGGTGGTTTTGTGAGTTTGCCAATCCTGTGGGAATTCACTCTTAGTGTCTCTGATTCCTGGGGGCTTTGCTGGGAATGCTTCCCAAGGTGAGGTTGGGCAGCGACAGCAGAGCCCAAGGAAACCTGGAAAAGCCACCAAGGCTGACTCACCTTGACTTCACCCTCTTCTGACTGGTTGTCTGAGTGCCGAGGAGAGGAGAGCTCATTCCCATGCTCATCTTTGACTTTAGGAGCCTTGTTCTCCTTCTTCACTCGGGGTTTCCTCTTCTTTAGCTTGCCCTGGTAAAAACACAGAACAAGTCAGGGAAAGCAAATAGCTACAGCTGCTTCCTGGGGACATTTCCCATCTCCTGAACATTGTGCAAACAGCTGCAGGTCCTGCAGGCTGGCAGGAAACCTGATGAGCCCAAATCCTTCAGTAAGAGCAGTAATAACGTGCCTCTTATTAATTATCATTTAAATGAGAATTATCACAATGTAATCAGACAATAGGTCCATATTCCTTCATAGAAATGATGTCTGGTGATCTGAGGGAACACAGGGTGTCTCCTGCCATCAGCCAACCACTCCCCCTGAAAGCCCCAGAATCAAGAGGCCACATCTCACCTCTTCCCCATCTTTCATGTTTTCTTTCTTGTCCAGATCTTTTTTCAGCAGTTTCAGTAGATAATCAACTCGGGTCTGGAGCTGTTTTCCCTGAGGTTTCTTATCTGTCTCAACTGGTAGGATCTTTGATAAAGCAGAAAAAAAAATATATATACACCTATAGGCACAAAACTTGACAAAAGATTTACACATTAGCAGCAGCCCTTCCAGGCCCAGCAAAGGGCAGAAGATGCTGCACCTTCTGGGGGAACAAGAAGGCTCAAGCCTTCCTTCCCCCTGTCCCTGTCTGGCCAAAGGCAAAGCTCCTACCCAGCAAGCATCCCTCCCCTTGGAATCCTATACAATTTAAAAGATCCCAAAGCTTGCTAAGCCTTGCAAGCTTGCTAAGGTCTCTTGAAGGAAAAACAAATCCTTCACAAGCTGTATTTGGGACTTTGAGTTGCCAAACTGAGTCCACTGGCCTTGACACCTTGGATTTGTTTGTGGCAGCTTGGTCACAGCAGCCCAGTCACTCTGGTAACCTGAGACATTGCTACAGCAGGGGCACAGATGCACAATTTTTAGTGGAAAACAAGGCTGAAAGGTGACACTTTGTGGAGGAAATAGCTCAGCTTGCCAGCTAGGTTTGCTACACACTTCACTGGAAAATGGGTGGCGTGTTTCAGGCAGCTGTTTCCATTGCAAAATGCCTTTCTGAGCTCCACACATGGAGGGTTCTCGGGCAGAGCCTGATCTCTGCTAAAAGCACCAGCAGGGGTGTCAGGGGAATGCTGCAGGCTGGCAGCAAAGCTGGTGTGCAGACTCCCAGTGCTCCTCAGCCCTGTGCTGCAGTTTCCACACTCTTTCCACCACACTGACACAACGGATGGCGGATTATTTTTAACCCAGATCATTTCAACATGGTGCCTGTAAACTGTTCTTGTGGGGATGACTGAGGAACAGAGGAACTAGATGGAGGTTTTCCAGCTGGCTGTGCTGCCATTCCCAGTCCCAGTCGTGTAACCATATCCTCAAAGCTAACACGGACCAGCCTTGACATAAGCACTGTCAAATCTGTGAGAAATTATTTCCACTCAGAAATTCCCACTCAGCTTCTTGTGAGATGCTCAAGGAAACATCAAGCCACAGCCTCTTCCATCCTGTGCATGGAACCACACATGTCAGCACTGAATCAATTGAGTGTGGTTCACCTGGTACTGCCCACCAAACAACACAATTCTGCCTTCCATCCAGCATGCAACATTCCATGAAGGCCACTCTTTTCCTCATTATCACTGATCATGGTTTTTGGAGTAGTTACAACCATAAACATCTGTTTCTGGAGTACATGAGGTGTGTTTGCTATGAGCAATGGACCCAGTGGAAGCAGCAAGCAAAGCCACCTACCTTATCAGACAGCTTCAGCTCCGGGTCTGTTTTAATCAGCTCCCAGTTTCCATAGCCATGCTCGTAAATTCCCACCAACAAGCGAGAATCCTCCTCCACTCCCCAGTCTACATCAAAATGAGCAGCTTTGACACGGCACGTCAGGCGGTACCTAAAGGCATTGCAAACACTGCTTTTAATGCTGTGGAGGATAAAGGAAATCCACACATCCAAGGTATTCTCTTCCCACTACAAAATCCAAACTCCCTGAGCCTCTTACTGTGTTGCCTACTTAGCCAAACTCACTTCTTCCTTTCCTCTGGGTCCGAGGGAATGGATTTGTGCAGCATTTCAAACTCCTCCTCGTGCTGGATGATGGATTTCACATTGACTTGGACACCAGAAATCTTGATGGTAGGACCTCGTCTCTTTCCAGGTCCTTTCCCTGCTCAGCAATTAAACACAGCATTAATTAAAGGAACTCTTACAGAAGGAAGTGTCTCTGTAAAATGGCTCCACAGACAGTGATCAAGACCTTGCCTGCAACCTCTTATTTAAACATAAGGCCCAAAATATAAGTTTTCTTCCACTAACTCACTTAGATCTGCAATTTAAACACCTCCCAGTACCATTTTCTTAAAAATACTTCTAAGTACACTGGAGCTGTTGATTCTGCAGTCTTGGTCAGCTGCAACAGGCAGAGACCCAGCAGGAAATCCATCCCTGACTCTGTATGTCCAAACAAACAGCAAAGAGCAGGCAGACAGAGAGTGGGTGGTGATTCCAGCTCTGGGAATTGCTGTGGGCCCAGCTTTACTGTGGAGTACACAGCACCAGTTTGATTTCCAGTTAAAATAAGATCTGCTTTGCTTTGTAGCCCAGCATTCCATGAGTTGGTCACTTCAGCCTCTCCCCACAAAAACTCATGTCCAGCAGAAGCCAACAGACCCAAGAGGCACTGTCCAGTCGTTACAATGTCACCTCCCTGTCCAACACTGGAATGGTTTCCTCACAAGCTCCATGGAACACTCCCAAAACCACCCTAACAACCCCCTGGCCTACCTTCTGCTGGATTTTCCTTCAGCTGCTCCTCATATTCCTGCATTGCTGACACACAGCTGTTGTGGATGAGCTCCCCCAAACGCTTCAGGTCAGCCACAGACTTGTCCACCAGCTCAGCATCCCGGGCAATGCACTCCAGCCTGGGGAACAGGGACAGCTTTGTGTGAGGTACAGCAGCTCCTCTCTCAGTCATTTCCTATTCCATTGTTTCACAGCTCAGTGCTGTACACATGTGAATGTATAAAACATGCACGAGGAAACAACCCAGGTTTGTCTTTATTTTGGGTCTAACAGCTGCAGTGCAGATGTAGAAAAACTGATCCAATCATGTGGATTTTTTAGTACCAAAGCAAAGGTGAGAACTGTCTGTCTTGGGGACAACAGGGACCCTCTGTGACTGTCCAGTATTCCCTCAGGCTTTTTCAGTTCCACATTAACTCCATTTGATGGTCCAAAGCTGCCATCTGCTGTCCCTTTTGCCTGCCTGAAGTCAGTAACATCAACACTCACATGCAAGCCTTGTGTTTCATACCAGGAGAGCAGAACCAGCTGAAAAATCACTGAATTTCTCGTATAATACATTCAGAGAACTCTGCCTCAGCCCTGAGACCTTTCTAAACCAGATCCATGTTTAAGGATGGTGCCTCTCTTTGTTTCCCTTCAGGAGGGACAGAGCATGGAAAGACACTCCCAATCCAGTCCTGAGGCTAACGTGCACAGAGGAGCTTGGCAAGTGTTTTGGGCAGCATTTGTTGTTCTGACAGCTGCTCCCTCTCCTCTCTGGGCAGAGTGGGAATGCCCCAAGGGCAGGACTGTGCCAGCAGGACCCTGCTGTGTCGCAGCCTGGCACCACCACTGCTCCAGCTGGTTTTCAGCCAGCATTCATCAGTGCCCATCAACAGAGGCACCAGGGAGTGCCCAGCAGTGCCTGGGGTCTGTGGCAGGGCAGCAAGGCTTGTGCTGTCTGTGCAGGCTGTGTCAAACACCCAGAGCAATGAGTGCTGCAGTGCTCAGGAGCACAATGTGCCTCCATGGTCACCTCTGGAGCAGGGCCAGGTTGGGACTCACCTTTCAAGAGGCAATCCAAACTTCTTGTAAGCCTTGATAAACCTAAGGAGAAAAAAAAATTAAAAAAATAAAATAGCTGCCATAAAAAGTAGGTCCTATATCACAAATGTGCTTGAATATATTAATTACAGCCTGTCACATTATCACCCTTGCATTCCCCACTGAGCAGCTCAGCATCCCTCAGCACTGGGAAGCCTCATCCATTAGCCCCCACAAAGAGTTTTGTGACCTTGGCTGAAGAAGAACACAACATTGTTATGAATGTTGAGTGTTTGACAGATGAGGGGTAAAAAAGAAAAGGAGAGTGGTTACTGTAGGGCAAAAAAAAAAATAGAAGAAAGCATTGGCTCACACCATGTTGGTAATTATTAACTTCATTTTTCCAGGAAGAAAAGAGGCATTAAATCAATGTCATTAGTAATTTTAAAGCTTGGGCTGTAAATGTAGCAACCCATCACAGAAGAGCCAAATGTGGCTTCATCCATCAGAGAGGTTTGCAGATGAGGTTTGCTATTTATTTTCATGTCTTATTTTTATTGTGAAAATCCCTGCTGTGGCTAACACATATTTAGAGCAAGAGTTGCTGCAATCAAACATTGCCTTGAGCTGGAATAGACACAATGGCTACAACTACAGGTTATTTTTTAAATGAATTAATTTTCTGCCTTCTTATTTTCGTGTTGTATACTTTCAGCCCCTTTCTGCTACATCACAATAACCTAAATGGTTGTTATATTGTATATTATAACATGTCCTCCTGCTCCATGGTTTCAAGATGGTTATGGGGCAGCTATCACAGCCCAAAAATTCTGTTATCTCCTGCTTAAAAATACACCAGCTCAGAGATAGAGAGTTAAGGAAAACTCATAACTCCCTCACTTCCATCTTTGGCTGAACATCTGGGTAGAGCTGTTAAGACAAAGATCTCTGGGAAAGACTCAAGAATTAGAAGATAAAATATTCTGAAATTCAGTCTCCGGCTGACATCAGACACTGACACATTCAGATCAACAGGACCAGTGCTTCTCATGAGGTCATTTTGTCAGAGCCTGCCTTTCACTGAGAGCTTAAATCAGCAGCATGACTGCCAGAAAAGTGTCAGGAAGGCCAGAGCCCTTGGCTTCTCCAGCTCATGGCACCTAAGACCTCACATGTTATACAGCATGAGCTCCATCCACTTGGCCCACAAAGGGCACTTACAGCATGGATTAATTTTAGGAAGGCACCAGCTTCACTGTAGCCTGGCTAAAGACAATCCAGTCCATTCTGCACTGACCTGAATGCAAAGGTCGTCAGCTGGGATCAAACTGAGCTATATAAAGGTGCAGAAGCTGTGCCAGTGAACCAGCTCTGCCCAACCACTGACGTGCTTACAGGTGAACACATCCTGGATTAATCTGGGATTTTCCCCACCTGCATGGGGTTTCTATATTTGTTTTCTGAACTGTCCCTTGTGCCCAGCACTGACCTCCTGATTTCAGCATCAGTAAATCCTTCCACGGTGTCTTTCCTGACACTCCGAGGGCGTCCCCGGCGCTTGGGTCTCTTCTCGTCGTCGGTGTCGTCGGTCTCGCTTTCTGACCCAGATGATCTCTGAAGCCTCCTCTTGGTCTCTGCATCAGATTCACTGTCATTTGTCTGAGCCTGCAGGTACCAGAGAAACAGCAGGACAGTTATCAACTGCTCATCTAATCAGCTAGCAACCTTTTCTGTCCCTCTGTGCACTGGCACAATTTAATGGACTGTAAACCACCTGAGCATCTGTTCCTGAAGATGCAGGAGCCCCTGTGGCCAGCCCAGAGAGGCTGCACAATGGTCATCCTCCTTTTACAGCCACCAGTTTCACAATAGCATTTTGATCTACTAAAAGATGTTAAAACATTGATTTCCATGAGTTTATGCCACGGTCCCTTAGACTATTTTGAAAGCCAGGACACCTCAGAAATTAATCTGCATTCATCCAACATGAATTATCCTTCTCTGTGTTTTTCACATCAATGTTTTTCTCCAGCTCACCCCACAGAACAGTTCTAACCCCTTCAAGTCTCACATCCCAGCAGAGCATCCTTGCACAGTCAGCTTTCTTTTGGATTGGGGTAGATCCCATTACATAAAGAAGAGCTTGGGAAGACACCATCTCTTTTGCTCCTCAGGATCCAGATTTAGGCAAGAGCCACACAGGGAGCTAGAGAGCCCAAGGAAAAGAGACAGCCAAAAAATGGCAAAATCTGCAGCAAAATCCAATACAATTGGGTGCTTTGCCTTGTGGTCACTGCAAATTCTTTTGGTTTTGTCTGCTAAGGTGAGATGAGTCACACCAAGTCCAGTCTGGGCCCTCAGGCTGCATCCCAAACCATTGGTGCAATGCACAGCGCCAACAAGAGGTCACTGTGCTACCTCTGTGCTTTATCCCAACCAGCTTTGGAGTGGGAAAGATGCTCAGATGGCAGGGAGGCCTCCCCTGAGCATTCCCTTTGCCAGTTCTCTCCTCCAGCCTCTCATTCCCTCATGATGGGTTGTACCTTCTTCGTTGAGCTCCGGATTCGAGGCAGCATGTAGATTTCCTCCAATTCTTTCTGCCTTTCTTCCTCCTCCACCTTTTTCCTCTGCTCTTCTGGAATGATATCGTCCCAGTCCTTCTGGGACCGCTCATCCAGCTCTGTCTCTTCCTCCTCCATGGTTGCAAAGTTGGCAACCTTTTACAAGCAAAGGAGAAGTTTTAGCAATTCCCTCCCCTGGCAGGAACACCCCAGAGCTGTCTGCTAAGCCTCAACTCCTTCTCCACAGGAATTCTGCCAACACTTCCATAACTACTCCATAATTGATCCCTATGCCACTACATTCCTGGCTCCTTGCCCTTCTTTGGACTAACAGCTTTTGAGGAAGTACGTGCAGTTTAGGGAGTACTGCTGAGTATTTGTAAATTATTGGGTTTGTTTCCAAATTTGGTAAATTCTGCATTTTATTCACAGCCTTCAAAACCACGTTCCTGAAATTAAATTAATACCTACCTCGGGGGGGGGTTGGAACTGGGTGATCTCTAAGTTCCCTTCCAACCCAAACCATTCTGTGATTCTGAGATCTGTGCGAGGTGTTCCTACCTGTTACTGACCTCAGGGTGTGGGGAGCCACATTCCCAAACCCAGCACAGAGCCTGGGGGTGTCCATACCTTGAACTGTGAGAGCAGCTCGTCGGTGGCACTGGTGGACACCTCATTCTCCCGGGTTTCAGCCAGACGCAGAATCTCGTCGATGTCCATCTCCTGCCAGTCAGGGAGAAGGAGGGATAAAGCAGGGGGTGCCAGGCACAGCAGGATGTAAGAGGCTTTGAGAACAGGCTGGTGTGCTGATATGAGCTAAATAAAGTGCAAATGTCTGCAGGGTGTCATCCCAGAGGGCAGGGATGAACTGTCTCAAGTGGGACAGCAAAGTACAAATAAGGTGACAACAAAAGGAAAGGACCATCAGGGTTGAACAGTGGGGAAAATTTCTAGGCAGTGAGATGTATGAACTACATTCTTGTTTCCCTGGGGAGAACTCTGCTGTTTGGGCCATTAAGAGAATTGGTCAAAACACTCAAGATGGGAAGTCATGCAATGTTGTACTGAGGCAGGAGAGAGCAACCTGTTCACTGCACTGTGCTGACCCTGCCTCGCTCAGAACCACCAAAAAAGGTGCTGAGCAAGTGAGAGGAGCCTTCAGCAGGCTGTGCTGTCACTAGCTAATAATCCTCAGAAGAGAAGGGACTCCCTGGGTGACCATTACCATTTAATCCCCAACAACAAGGCTCTCCTCAAACCCTGATCCCACAATCCCAGACTCTGCTTCCAGCTTCTCCAGACTCCTACATGTCCTATTCACCAATTGCTCTAATGCACAGGGCAAGAACAAAGCAGCAGCAACCACACACAGTCCTTCTTGCAGACCTGGAGAGCACTATAAACTGCTATGTGATTTCAATTTCAAACTACCTGAGGCTCTGACTCTTCCCCTTCCAGCTCCTTGAAAAGATCTTCAGCTCCAAACTTCAAAATAGCTGTCAGCTCCTCTTTGTTGAAGGGATTTGAGCTGCCAGAAGAAAAGAAGGAAAAGCTGTTTTCAGCTGCTCAGTCAGAACTGCTACAGCACAAAACCATACCAAAATTTTTCCCAGTTGAAGCAAGGAGTAAGTTTTCTACCCAGCACTATATAAAGCTTTGTTATTATTCTCTTTCCTGCTCCAGCACAGACAAAGACTGCAATGGGAACCACCTCCATCTACTGGGGGAAATGAAGAGAATCTGAGGTCACTGCCAAAATGCAGCTGTTCCACAGCCAGGTTCCCTCAGACCAGGATGATCTCTGGGTGAGAGACAGAAGCAAAAGCAAGTGGTGCCCTAAAACTAATTTTAAATGTCTGTTCATCTTTATCCTATGTATCCAAATAAATGGCTGCAGAAGCCAAATCAGTGGAAGCTGCCATGATTTATTAGCCTTCTGCCCTGTACCCTATCAAATAAATCTGGGAAATACCAGCAGGGGAGGCTGGTTATGCCACGTGCTCCAGACATTTCTGCCTCCTGACACAGTCACGTACTTGGATCTCCCAGAGTTGTTGTCCAGAACAGTCCTGCCAGTGGTGTCCATACGCTGGATAACCAAATGGTCCAGCACCATTTTCTTCTTGGCTCTCTCAATGATCTCCTCCTCCACTGTCCCCTTGGTGACCAGGCGGTAAATGTTCACCTGAGAGGCAAAAAGAGACCACAGCTATTTCCTGCACGGGCTCTGCTGACACAGCAATGCATCCCTCAGCTGCTTTCACTGGGCTGCTGACATTGTCTCTTCATGCACAGATGCACAGATGTGCTTTTTCAGAAGAAAAACAAACACATTCTCTCTGTATCCAGTTAAAATAAGGATAATTAACACAGATGCTGTAGTGTGCCTAAGCACAGAGCAAATATCTTCTGAAACAATTGCTCTGAATTCAAACTAGCACCAAACTAGCTTTTCACATATCTAATAATCCCTAGAAAAGGTGATATTATACTTTTTTAAATTTTTCAGGGCAAGAAAGAACAGAGTCCACTAGGACTAGGCTGAGAAGTGCAATGCCATGGGTTGGGTTCTGGGTATGCTCAAAACCAAGATAAAGACTTGGCACCTGGCAAATCTGGGCTGCTTTTAGTCTCCTACTTTTTTAAATGAGATTCCCTCGGGCAGCACTCTCTGGACCAAGGACTGGCCCATGTTTTCAGAAGCTTTGGTGAGGTGAGAGGGTGTTTAGGTGCACACACTGAAGCCACAGTGATAGAACCCAGCAGCTCTCCTGACCTGCTTCTTCTGTCCGATCCGATGGGCTCGGGCCTGAGCCTGAAGATCATTCTGGGGGTTCCAGTCCGAGTCAAAGATAACAACAGTATCAGCAGAGGCCAAATTAATTCCCAGCCCTCCAGCTCTTGTTGACAACAAGAAACAGAAATCCTGGGAAGGAAAAAATAAAAAACATCCATGAGTTAACCAGCTTGTAACTGTGGGCATAAAATAGCAGTGGTGACTCAAAAGCTGTAAAAGGGAAGGCTCTGTTGCACTCATGCTTCTTAAAGCAGAAAAGGGATTTCCTTCTCATATTTCCTTCCCTTTCCTGTTCATGCAGGCTGAGCAGCACCAGCCTTTAAGCCCAGACCCAGGGTGAGGCAGTGCTGGCCCAGCTGAAGGGATGAATCAATTTGGGAGAGCAACCCAAGCAGCTCAAGGCAGGGGTGCCTTGTAGTCATTTCTGAAGGTCAGACCCTGTTGCTCACCAGGCTCCTACAAAGGCAGCAGGCAAACACCTGCTTTTTGCTGCCTGAATCCTGTTAGGAGTGAGATCAGCAATGAACAGGCTGTGCCATCTAAGTGCCAAGATGCCTGAGCCCCCATAGATGTCCTCAGGACAGGGAAAAGGGCAGGTTCTATGGGCTTTCTTTCTCTTTCCCCCTCACACTTCCTTTTGTTAACTTTTCTACAACCACAATTCCTCAGAATCCCTGTGTGAGCCAAGAATCCTGCTCCAGCCCAAGCTCCTGGAGTGAGGAAAGGTATTTCTCACAGCTGGGCTGACTGACACAAAAACAAGTGTCCTGCACCAGTCACTGTGAGTCAGCAAGCCCAGATGAGAGGTTTCAGATGCCCTCTCCTATTACACTGGAGACTTTCACCTCCAGCACTGGAATCCATTGCTTGCCAACACTTAAAATCCTTCTTTTGCCTCTGTCATTTCATATTCAAAACCAGCTTCAGATTGGAATCACTCAGCAACCATGTCATTCTCCAGACCAATAGGGAGAGAATTACTAAATTTTGGCTCTTCCCAGCCTCTTCAGGAGGAACTTTCTGAAAATGTGACTTGCTGCCCTGCTCCTTGGATGTGAGAGATTTCAAGTAATATGAAATATGGAAAGCCTGCCATATCCACGTCTTTAAAAGACCCCCAGGTGTCAGTGCCAAGCTGTGGCTCAGCCACAAACCCTCTGCCCAGCCTGTGGTACCTCGGAGCCGTCGGCGTTGAAGTGATCCAGCGCCTGCTTTCGGATCTCCCCCTTGATCGAGCCGTCCAAGCGCTGCAAAAACCAACAACAGTGAGAAAAGAGAGAAGGTAAAGGAGCCCTGAGGCACTGCTGCACCCGAGTGCTGCCAGCCCTGCAGCCCCCTGTGCTGCCTGCAGCGTTTAATTGTTAAAAATAGCCACCAATTAAAAATATCTGTGCTGTGTCACAAGGGCTGGGGGATGCTCGGGGAGCAGGCACAGGGCGGGTGACACCGCAGCTCCCGTTACAGGCTGCCAGCCAGGCTCCCTGTGCTCACTGTCCTCGGGGTTTATCACATGACACAGCCCAAACAGGGCCTGTCAGAGCAGTTCTGCAGAGATGGGGCCACCCTGAAATGAAGGGACATCCCAGTTCCTTCCACTAAGTGCCACCTGTAATCCCAGCCACAAACCTCTGGGGAACTCAGTGAATCCCACTCCTCAAGCTCCCTCCACTTTTTTCCACACTTTCAAGGGGACCCCACTGTTTTCCATGCTGATGTTTCCATGCTGATGCAACTCAGTGAATCCCACTGCTCAAGCTCCCTCCACTTTTTTCCACACTTTCAAGGGGACCCCACTGTTTTCCATGCTGATGTTTCTCACCTGAAAAGGGTAGTGTTTGATAGTCAGGTACTCTGCCAAGATGTCCAGCATCCTCACCATCTGGGAGAAGATCAGCACTCTGTTGCCTCTCTCACGCAGCCTGGTCAGCAGCTTGTCCAAGAGAATCAGCTTTCCACTGCTCCTGATCAAAGACTGAAGAAATAACCATCATTTCCAATCTTACCCTTATGTACATCACACACAGACCTGCACAGACCTGCTCCTTTTGGGGTCATTCATCTCTTGTACATCCATTATCTAATAATCTGGATTTACACAGCAGAGCCCACACTCACAATGAATCACACAAGACAAATTGTACACTGCCCACAGTTCCTGCTCTAGAAGGCCATAAAATGTTCCCTACAATAGAATTGCAGGGCTGGGAGTTCAAATGGCTTAGCTGTGAGAGCTATTTTTGAAGAAGAAGCCACAGAAGATAAAGCTTCACCAGATATTATCAAAAGAATGAAATTTAAGGAAAAGAGGTGGTGGCCAAGGACACCACTCACCTGCAGGGTCTCAAGGCCATTCTCTCTCTCATTTTCCTCAGGAGGTTTGATAAGGTAGCAATGGTTGCAGCACTTTTTCAATTCCATCACAATATTCAGGAAACCAGATGTGCTTCCCCTTGTTCCCTTTGAAAGAGCTTTGTAGTTTCTTGTCAAAATCCACCTGCAGGCAGGAAAATTAAAGTCGGGATCATTACTCATTGCAGAGCAGAGCCTTGGAGGAACAAAACCTTCAGAAACAGCTCATTCAGGCATCAGTCTACTCGCCTGCCTCCATTTCTCCTCACCTCTCTTACAGGATGCTCTTTCCTCTCTAAAAACCTTGACTTTCCTATTGATATTATCACTGTTTAATATTGAACAGCATCCCAACTTTGTGCATATTGTCACTCCCCCAGGAAAGACACAACCTCTGTCTTGCAAAACTGGCCAGTTGAACTGGATCACTCTACAAAAACATCCTCCAGAAGGAGAGATATCAGCTCCTCTACCTCATATTCCTGCTGGGAATCTCCCAGTACTACAGGTGATGTTGTCTCACTGCTCTCTGAAGGCCACAGGATGCACAGAACACTGGAACACACTGCCAATGCCCACAGAAAGATGTGCCCATTTCCACTGGCACTGCCAGTAACCCATTCAGTGACTCACTTGTAGTACTGCTTCTGCAGAGCAGACATTTCCACCCGCAGGATCTGCTCCACTTTGGCTGGCAGGGATTTCTCCACATCCTTCTTCACCCTACGCAGCAGGAACGGCTCCAGGACTTTGTGAAGGCTCTGGTAGCCATTCTCTCTTCCTTTCCCGTGATCCTCCTCAAAATCCTCCCAGAACTCAAACCTGGCAACAGAAAGGAGGAGAAGGGAGGTGTCAGAATGCCTCTTGTCTTATGGCACCAAAGAGCAGCTGTTGGATGCACTCCTGCTGCACCACAAACAGGAGAGCAGCACTTTAATGGAAACACGGTGGAAGTTACCAGATTCACTCTGCTCTGGTTAACTGAACAGATTGCTGGAAAAGGTAGAAGATCTCTGGGCTTACACACCTTCCTAACATCTTATATTTGAGCTACACACTGACTCCCAGGACCCAAAATCCCAAGTTTCCCACTATTTCACTCTGCTGGCATTTACCTGGCAGCAGTTTCTGAACTTTCCACGGTGCCTCCCCCAGGCACAGCTTTGACAACTGGACTGATTTACCCTGCTCTGAAGGCTCTTTTGGGATTGTTGCTTCCTCTGACAGCTTCTTTGAAATGTGGAGATCTGCTCTCCTCCACTTAGGAGACCTCAAGCCTCTTCTTCACTCTTTATGTCATCCAACAAAAAGAATTTGGGGGACAGCTCTCCTTGCAGTCAAACATAATTTCAGTGAGCTTTGGGGCATGCCTGCCTTAGCCTCAGAGATGCCCAGAGCTCATTTCATTTTAAAGGAAACAAAACATTTGTTACACTGTGGACACACAATCAGCCAGACAGCACCCCCAGAGCTGCCATGAAATGGCTGGCAGAGGTGCCTGAACCACAGTGCACTGGAAAGCTCAGAAATGGCTGAAATGATTCCTTCAAACAAGTTTAGCTTTTTAGAGAAGGCTGGAAGACAGCAGACAGATTTGAAAGGCATGTATCAGGTTTCCCCATTCAGTTTGCTGCCAGAAATACTCCTCATGTTAGTTATTTAACCTTTGACTTTCCCCTCTAATGTCTGTTCTCCTATCATTGCTGTCACACCACTGAGTTTAACTCAGGGATTTCTGCCATCCTGCACTCCCTTGAGCCTCCTTAACAGACAAGAATGGAACAGAGACACTTCTTGGAAGGCCTGGAAGGAGACTCACTTCTCTGGCATGATGAAGTGCAGCAGGGACCAGAGCTCCTTGAGAGAGTTCTGAAGGGGGGTGCCGGTGATCAGCAGCCTGTGGTTGGACTTGAAATCAATCAAGGTTTTGTAGAGCAAGGAGTCGTCGTTTTTCAGCCGATGGGCTTCGTCCACACCCAGAAAGGCCCAGTTAATGCTTCCCAAGACAGTCTGGAGGAAAAGAAGGAAAAAACAGAGATGGTGGGTCAGACAGGCCCCACCACCTTGTACATGTGTGTCTCCAAGGCAGGAAGCCCTGCACTGTGCGTGTCCCTGTGGCTGCACCCTCACAGGATCTTCTTGCTAACAAAATGTGGGGACCAGGGTGCCTTCCCAGAAAGGAAAAGGTGAAAATCAGCCATGCTGTACAACACTCCTGCTGTATCTCAATAGGTCTGCAGCAAGTACACCTATCCTGGGGAAGCACAGTCCTTCCCCAGCTCCTTATTCCCCCCTTTCTCCATGCCCTTGGGGCCCTGGGTAGCACTGGTCCCACTGGAGCAAGAACAGGAGAGCAAATCAACAAGCCTAAAAAGTTCAGATAATCCAAGAATTTTGATTTAAATTCTTTTTCTTTTTTTTTTTTTAAGCTTTCAGTTTTTTGTAGGACTCAGTGATACACTGACAGGGATGATGCATGTTTCCTAAGCAGACAGATTTCTTGTAAATGTAAAAATGTAAATACTGTTAACACTGTGGCCAGAGGTTCAGTCTAATGTTTTGTCCTCTTAACAAGCCTAAATTAAACCAGGAAAAAATCCAGGTACTGCTGGATCCTGCCAGATGTCTTACATGTAAAATAAAATAGCACAACTGTGCAGTACAAGAGTGATGACACTGCAAAATGTCTCCCACATTCCCACATTTGCTTACAAATGTGGAAGGAAAAGCAAATAGTGGCTGTAGATATCCATCACCACAGAGGGAAGAGGTGAAACCCACTAGCTGAGAACTGGCTTTCTCCTTTGAAAATGAGAGAAAGTCTAAATAAAAACATTCTTGGAGTAATGACTCACCTTATCCTTCAGGAGGATCTCATAGGTTGTGATAAGTGCATTGAATTTCAATCTTTTAGACTGAGAATGGATCCACTCATATTCACGTATCTGTGAGGGGAGACAAAAGTTAACTTGAACACGTGTTATCAAAAGAAAGAGTTAACAGTTGTTATTTTAGTGTAACTGTAAGCCAGAGACTCCAACCAAGTCCAAACCCCTGTTGTGCCATTTCATGAGCTCAAGGTGCTCAAGCAACAATTTGTTTTAGTGCACACATGGTTCAACTGCCCTTGCACAGGTAACAAAATGAGGCTAACTTGCTGTTGTGACAGTAATGAACACATCACCTCACTGCAGACACCACTGGAGTCCCAACACTTGTGTGCTCCGCTCCATTGTCTGAATAATCCCAAATACTGAAGACAAGCATTTTACACTGCTGCACTTCTCACTGTATGTTTCACTCCAGATCAGCACTGGCTCTGAGAGAAGCCAGTGCTCCTGCACTCACTCCAAGAGGCAAAATAAAGCACAAAATTCCCTGTAGCAGGGAGTTACAGCCACATACTCAGCCACACCAGCTCCAGCTGCCTGCATGCTGCCAGCACTATCCAGCTGACTGTGTGTCACACACACCACACACGAGCTGCTGCTGTGCACCCAGTGCTTCTCCCTGAGCCCTCACCCTTTGCTCTCTCATTACACACCATGTTCCTGCTCATGAGGTCTCCAATGTAAACCACCACGTTTATCTCGGGGGCCCACACTTCAAACTCCCTCTGCCAGGAGGTGAGGGTGGACAGGGGCACCACCACCAGGAAAGGGCCATAGAGCTGGTGCTGATGGAACAGGTATGACAGGAATGATATTGTCTGAATGGTCTTGCCCAGTCCCATTTCATCAGCCAGGATCACGCTGTTGTTCCTGAGGAAGAGGAGAACAAACAGAAATGCTGTCTGAGTGCATGTTTCTGCCACTATTTGTAGCCCCACGTTTCTCTTCACAGAGAAAAGCAAGGCACAATTCTTGCCAAGAATATTTCTGGGATTCACATTCTCTGAACCTCAGAGAAAGAAAACACAATTCTTATCACTTGCTGTGCCTGTGTTTGTGCAAAAGTAGAATGCAATATGGAGATTGTTTGCCCAAAGTGATGCTGTTTTGTTTCCTTGGTCTATCAGGGCCAAGTGTGTGTGTGTGTGTCAGGACTGTGGGCTGACAGTCATGAGATTCAGAGCAGTGTGTGCAGAGCTGAGTGCTTGGCAGATTCAGTTTAAATGTAATGTAATAAAGTATAGAATAATATAGTATAATAAAGTAATTAATTAGCCTTCTGATAAGATGGAGTCAGATGCAATCATTTCTCTCTCCCCTAGCTGGGTTTCACAGCACAGCTGTAACTACTAATTTACTGCGCTCCACATGAACAGCAATCCACAACAAGGACAGAGAGGGGCAGTGCAAAAACAGCTATTTGAACACTTCAGGGACAGCCAGACTGAACATGGCACAATAACGTGCAAAAATTAACTATGATGACTCCAAACTGAAGGAAAACAGGCAGATGGAATCAGTGGCCTAATTTTAGAAGGACATCTCTCAAAGACTTCAATGAGCATATAAGCACACTGAGCCAGAAACCCTTTTTTCCCATTAAGTCAATGGAAATCTAGAGCTTATATGTACCAAGCTCAGCCAAATCCATCATGTGAACAAGCCCAGACAGGGAAAACGTTTTTTGTTTTCACACAAGGTTTCTTAAGTTCATGCTTTAGGTAGTTCCTGCTTGCAGTGTCTGCAATGCAGCTGGGCATGATAACATTTGAAATCCTCCAAGCTGCAGAAGGAGGATGGGTAAAGACCTCACTTGAAAGGGAGGTGTGCTAAATCCTTCAGGGACAAAAAAGGCCCAGAATGAACACGCCAGGCTGTGCACATACTTGCACCAGGAGTGAGCCAGCCAGTTGAGGCCCTCCAGCTGGTAATCGCGCAGCTCCAGGTTCTCCCCGCCGATGTACGAGGGCTGCTTCTTCAAGGCAACAAACCTCGGCCTCTGCTTCAGCACCTGAAATAAAACCTGCCTTAAGTCCACTGAAGAGAAAGACAGAACTCTCAGTGGCTGAAAGGCTGAAAATTCAGCAATGAAATTGATGAATTTAGCAAAGAGTGTGTATCTATTCACTGGTTTGAGTGAAGAGAACTTCACCTCCATCCACATTTTCCTTGCCAGTGCTTGTGTCTGCATTTCTGGTGATTTGCCTGCTGCCCTCTGGTTTATGATCAGGGCTCTGAGTCCCCCAGGAGTGTAGTAAGCTGCACAAAATACCCAGGAGTCGGAACAAGCTCCACTTCCTTCTTTGTCCTCTTTTAGCTTTTCTCCCATTATTTTCTGTCTCTCTCCTTCACTGTATCAGCATCTTGCATGCTTCCTCTTTTCCCAGGTGTGCTGTTTTTTCATCCAACTGATATTAAAACTGCTGCAGCTCCTTCTGAGGAGGAAGCACTTTGCAAGGATTAATTAAGCCTCCCACTCCCCAGGGAGACATAACGTTCTCACTGTGCACAGAGTAAATGAAACTCAAAGGGCTTCACATCTCTGCTTGAAGTGCAATGCAAGAACAGCAAACAACCCTTCAAACGCAGGTGGGAGGATGGGAAAAATGTTCCCTGACATTTATCCTGACAAAACTTCACGCTCCCACTGCTTGCATCTTCCCCCAGCAAAGGAGAGAAGCCAGCAAACCTTGCAGTCACGGGTGGGAATGGTCTTGGAGTTGTTCCTGCTGTTGAAGCTGTCGATGCAGTGCTGGAATTTCTTGCTGATCAGAGCCTCATCTTCCCAGCTGCACTCAGCATAGGGCAGCCCCATCCATTTGCACAGGTATTCAGGGTCATTCGAGGATGTTTTGCGACTGTTTGCTGTAAAATATGCAAAAAAAAAAAAAGCCCAAACATCAGCACCTGTAGCTGAGCAGCTGAACCACAAGCATGGTTCGCAGGCTGACCTGCCCAGACAGCCACAAAACAGGTCTTGGCTCATAGCAAAAGTGTAGAGAGACCAAAAAAAAAGTGCTTTTACCTGGGAAATCGGAATGTCCTGTGGCAGACTTGCTGGTCTTCACAGCTGTGTTGGGAGAGAGAAGGGAAGGGAGGGTTGGAATGCTGGCAGCCAGCAGAGGGAGCAGGGCAGGCCACCACTGCCTCACACCCACGGTTTTACAGGAATTGTACTGGAAATAGCTTACACAGCTCTCCAAGCCAATTCCCAAAGCAACTGGGCGTTGGCACCTCTGACTGAAATTGCTGTGATATTACTAAAGTGCTCAGTAAGTTCTGGTTTTATTTTTATTAATTAATCATGAAAATCTCGCCCCTGAGCTGCCTTGCAGCCTAACCACATCCTCAACCACACCACAGAAAAGGGACTTCACAAAAGCCAGGCCCATGCTGCTGCTTTGGAAACAAACATCCTGCATCCAAAGGGCTGGAGACAAAGAAATTCAGCAGCAACAATTTCAGCAACCTGTTGGAAACTAGTGTGTCATCCCATACTCCAGGCAAGGAAAGTCCCTGATTTGTATTGCCTGTTTGCAAGCACAAATACAAATCTGTAAACCTGCATTTCTGCTGTCCAAATTCCTAAATTTCACACAATGAATTACAGTAAACACCATGGGGTTTTCTTCAGGGATATTGGACAGGGAAGAAGAGAGAGCTTCACACTCATTCTGCTGTCACATGGAATAAAGTTCCCATTCCTATTTCACCCCTTTACCAAGGTCTTGGGTCCACTTACCTATTACCCTCTCCACTATTTGATACTGTTTGTTTAGCTCTGAAGCCAGCTCTTGTTGGCAGTTGAAATATTCTACATCTTCAGGTGATACCTTGCCCAGCCTAGATGCAAAATAATTCAAAACAAAACACTATAATGCTTCTGTCATAGTGCTCATGGATGTTGCATATAGAAAATCTACTTTCCTATATGGTTCTGTCATTCAGACAAGTCACAGGGGCAAATTACTGTAATATGACATGTTTTTTAAATTTCCTAAAATTGTAAATTATTGCTGAGAGGCAAATGTCATAGATGTTCAGATTGTCTCCCTGTTAAATGCTGCCTTATTCTGATGCAAGAAATCAGTCTAAACAGGAACCAAATGGAGATGGAAGATGCTACTCCAGCTTTAGCACTTTGGAAAGGCACTGTAGCTCCCTTATAGTTCTTGGGGAAGCTGGACATAAACTGATGCAAAAACGTGCACACAGAGAAACCCATAATTAACAAGGGTTAATAAACCTGCAAGCCCTCACAGCACCTCCTGGGCCAGGTGAGTCTGTGCACCAATTATTTGTTATCAGCCTTCCCAATTCTTAAGCCTAGGAAGTGGCAATAGTGTGGATTTCATGCCTTGTCCTCTCCATTTTCCAGCCATCCACACCACAAATATCATTTCTGTGTGGGGGGATGTTCCTCAGCAGGCGAAGAGAGACCAGAGTGCACATGAAACACACTTTGTAAGAAGAAATCAAACATTTTCAGTCATGACTCCTCAAACCTCAGGCTAAACACAACTTGCCCAAGGCTGAATCACTGCTTGAAGCGAAGCCTACCATTGCTTGATCTCCTCCTCTTTTTTCTTGAAGTTCTCCAGCTTTTTGAGGCCCTTCACTTTCTGCTGCTGCAGGGACTCCTCGCTCTCCCACGTGCTGTGGATGTATGACCAGCCCTTCCACTTGATGAGGTACTGGACCTCCCCCTCGTCCTTCTCGGGGTCGAAGTCGGCGCTGGGGTTCCCGTTGGCCTCGGTCACGTACACGGTGGTGGAAGCTCCAATGGCTGCAAGAGACACCAGCCTGCCCTTGGTACCCTCCTGACCCACCACTGGGCATCAGCTGCATTACCCTTCTAATATATCTTTTGTGGGACCACAAAGAGCACCCAAAAGATTCTGCAAACCTAGAGGGCAGGCACACAAAAGCTCTCCGTGCAACCAAATATTTTTAAATCTGTCACAAGTAGCTTTTCTTTAAGTATAATTCAAAGGCCTCTTGAAAGTGTTCACAACCATTCAGTTTCACAAAAAACATTTTTGTAAGGCTTTGAGAAGAAAACATTGGCTTTATTTTCATTATGGCTTTGTCAATGGGGCTATGAAAACTGACTCTCTTTAGATCTGTTTTATATTTCAAAGCAGAGAAAAGCAGGAATTGCAGAACACTGGCTGCATCTTTAAAACGTGTGCAGGCTAAATGGAAACTGCCGAGCACATAAACTATAGAGATTTTAGGATTTTAAATATTATATGTTACAGAAGCTATTACATATTACAAGATGTAACTAAGAAGCATAGAGGAAAAGACAAAAAGCACTGAAACAACCTTGGCCCCACTTTGAAGTTGCAAAAGCATTGCACCAGTTCAAGAGAAATAAAGGCTTCTTCCAGAACCACGCACCTCCCTTTTTTCCAAGCCTGATGTCCAAGACTTTCTCAATAGTTTCACTGTTGTCTTGCTGTTCATCAGCTCCTTCCCCAGTCATCTCTATCAGGTCATCAGAATCCGTCTCAAAATCATCATCCTCTTTGTAGCTGAGTAAGATCAAAACCAAACTGATATAAACCCTTTGACTCTTCCAAGCCCACCAACACAGAATGGCTCAGACTGGAGCAGCTTCTCCAGCATTTATGCTGTGCTTCAGTGCACGTTCAGCACACATGTCTTAGGTCATCCACTCCATATTTTTCCCCAAGACACTCAGCTGCACTTTACCAGACTAATCCTCTATCTGGCCCATATGGCTTTTCTGATCATGGCCAACATCAGGTGATTCATAAGGTGGAACAATCCCTGCAGCAGAAGCAAGGCCATAACAGAGAAGGTCTCCACTACTAAGGGAAAGATTATTCTGTGGAGGTTGCAGAGCATGAAAAGGCTGCATGGGACTGCACTTCTCATCTTTGGTGCATGTTTAACCACCACCAAATATCATTTGGATGGCTCTTTGCAAGTCCCTTATTGGGACTGCCTGAAAGGTGAGAAGGTACATTGAGGAATGGATAAAGCTTTACTCCACCCTGGCTCAACACACTGTCCCCAGCCACCCTCAGACAATTGGTCCAGTCCAGCACAGCTGCTCCCTTTTGCTCATTTTCATCTATTATTTGCAATGATCAATCTCATCTGAGAGTGCTTTAGAAATATTATGCAAGCATCCTCAAGTTTCTCTAAGGAGGGACTGGTAAATGTTTCCTCTTTCACAGAGAGCAAAATGAGACAAACCTTGGATGTGCCCAGCAGGAACCTGCCCGAAGAGCCACACCTCAGCCACAGGTCCCTGAAGGAACCAGTGCCCCCTTCCCCAGCCAGCTCTCACCCCAAACCAACCCCACACTTCTTCACACCTGACATTTTTGGCTGCTCTTCGCCGAGTTTGTCTCTTGGGGGTCTCATCGTCTTCGTCATCATCGTCATCTTCAGACGAGTCTGGTTTCTTCCTCTTCCCACGCTGGATTTTGTGGGGCTTTTTAACACCAGCTTTGGCCACTGTTCTAAAATAAGAGTTAATAAAGCCATAATACAGCATGGTTTATGTAAATATCCACTTTAATAAGTCCTTAAGGAAGCACAGATCTCAAATATTAGACTCCTAAGGGATTTAATCTGCTCTAACTATCATGAAAACCACTCCAGTGCTCACTGGAGCATGAGAAGGGGAGATGAGGGAATAACTCGGCCATATATTTATTAGGTCACAAACAAAGGTAATATTGCAGGGAAAATTCATTAGTGACAAATACGGATTTCCTCTCCACACAGCACAGGCAGAAAGAGACTGAACCAACCACTCCTTACCTCCTCTGGACAGGTCTTCTTGCTTTAATTTTCTTCGGCTCAGGCTCACTCTCTCCACTGGTGCCTTGCTCCCCTCCATCTTCATCCTCTTCTCCAGCAGAAACCTCTCTTTTCCATTTGATTCTGTGGCCAGAAATGTAGGTCATGTAGGGCAACAATATTTCTACACAAATACTTGGCTGAGCAAACCATCAGGTCCATAATTACAGGAAAAAAGTTCAAAATTCTATCCTTGGCTGTTCAGTGATGTGCAGGGGGGATGTTGTGTTGTGACTCTCTGCTTTTAGGAGGGGGTCTCAGTCACCTGGAGCTTTGCTCACACAATATTAGGACTGCCCTGAGTGAGAGCAGCTCTTACCACACGTGCTGGTGGCAGAGTTGTATCGCTCAAACCTGGGTGGGCAAGGGCTTTGATCAATGATTTTTTTTCCTCTACTTCTGCATTTTTTGAGAGGGGCTGGAAGGATCTGAAGAGAAGTGATCACTGTCACAGAGCATGAGCCACAACGTGCAGAGTTACATGAGCTCCTTGGAGCCCAGAAAATGGAACAAGACTCCTGCCATGGAAATTCTCCTGCCAATTCAAGTTTCCAAGAGTGAAGCCAAGTCACACTGTACATTGGTGGAAGGAAACTCATTCTCTGGGGACAACTAGGAACAAAGCTGCAGCTCCAAAATGACTTTTGGAGGAGCCTCTTCTCTTTCCAATAGGACATGGAGGGTCCACAAGGATCACCGCCCTTGCCCAGGACAGGTTCATACTACCACAGTCCTCCTTGTGCTTTATCACCTTCCTTCCTACACTGATGGGAACAACTAATTCAAGAGTTAAAAGACAAGATGCAGGAGAAAGCAAGTAGTATCATGTGGTTCTGTTTAGATTTTCTCCATCAGACAGATCATAGTTCCCTACTCCAGTTTAGTGTATGGAAAAACTAGAAGGTACCTATTAGATGGTAAAAGAATATGACTGTAAGTGAACTCAAGTTATGGTGCTTAGACATCCAAAGCATTCTTTATGGAAGTTCTTTTGTCTTAACACGGGGTTATAAAAGATAAAAGAAGATAATAATTTGGTATTTTATTCTCAGTTAATCAAAAAGGTGGGAGGAGAAGGCATTAAACTGTTTTAAGTGTCTCTGAAGGAGAATCAGTAATCTGATGGAAAAGTGAAAGACTGACAACAGAAAGTGAACCTGACTCATTCAGATTCCATCACATGCACAGTAGGAACGTACAAACAAAGGTTGGAAATTGCATCCATCTACAGATTATATTCACACTTCAATTTTAGTAATCCAAAGTATTATTAAAATATTTATTTTACAAGCTCACCATGTTGACAACTCCCATCAAACAATCCAATGCACTACTGTTCTGAGAAATAAACCAAAGCATCACCACTCAAAACCCTTTCCCTAGAAACTTACTTTCTTTTCAACTGCTTCTGGCGTCTTCTTTTTGGGCTCTCATTTTCAGACTCGCTACTTGCCTTTAATTGAAAAGAAAGAAAATCAAGTTGTAGGCTTCACTGTGGGCTGGCTCCTGAAGGATGCAAGTGAAACACGTGCTGGTGGGTCCTTTCCCTGCAGCCTGAAGGACACTGGTGCAGAGCAGCTGCCTCCCAGCACAGCCACCTCAGCTGCTCAGCCCTGCTGCTCTGCTCTCAGTGTGAGGAAGAAAACCCTGCAGGAAGCCTGGAGAGCCATACAACATCACCCATCTTGAAGTGCCTGAGCTCAGGAGCCATCCATCCCCCAGCACCAACCCCACTGCCCAACAGACACCATGGCATCAGGCAGACCTGCAGTGTGTGCAACACCCCAGGGATTGCAAACCCATGGGTGAATTTATCCCAAAAATTGCATCATGATCTCTGCTTTCATTGCACAAACTTCCTACAAGGAATGAAATAAAATGTTGTAAAAAGGCAATAATCTCATCAGAATTATCCCAATGCTGTTGGGTTTTTTCTCCCACAGCAAGTCACCAAGGACCTCACTGTGTCAGAGCTGTGTCCTGCTGCTTTCCTTCCTCCCAGTTCTACAGTCTCCACCAGTGAATTCTCTTTAGCTAAATATATCTAGAGCTATTCTAACTGCTTGCTGTACTATTCTAAAAGTGGGCGTCACGAATTCCCACAGACCAGGATAGCTAAAATAATCTCTTTATGCTGGTTGCACACAACCCCATTTTCATAAAAACTAGTCAACCATGAAAACAGATCACCACACAGATAACGTGACTTCTCCTTAGCCTCCCCCAGAAAACACAAATAGGCAGGGACAAAACTGAAGAAACCCATGTGAGATTTCTAAAGAAGTATTAAAATGACAGAAGTAGCCTCCAAGATTACTTGCTCCACACACTTACTGGAAATCTTCCACTTGTGGCTGCTTTCTGACACAATATTCAGCTTTGGCCCCAGGCACTGTCTGTCCATCACTATGGGTAGCACAGTTTGCATCCCCTGACAGCCCCACTGCCCTCCTGGACAGAGCTCACACAGCTGTGCACACACTGAGGAATGGTGTGAGCTGTAACATGCACCCTTCATTCCCATTTTCCAGCTTTCCTTCCACCCACAGAAACTTCTGCCTCACTTGCATCAGTGTATTCACTAAAATACTGGATGCCATGTCTGACCATGAGCTTTCCTGGATGTGGTGTCAGAGTTGCATGTGGCACAATAACATCTTTTGCACAATATCTTACTACAAACACGTGTTCATCCACCTGTTTCAGGGCCCTGCATGAAACACCTGTCTCATTTACCAGCCATGAAGCAAGTGCCTGGCAAACACCATGGAGAGCCCTACCCACCCTTGCAACACAAGCCAAGCATTCCACAGGTTTCAGTTTTGACACACAAAATTTAAAAGTTTTCCTCAGTTTTCCCTTTCTCTTTTAATCTCTTATCCACTTTCTGAAGCTTTTCCACTCCAATCATTGGGCATGATTTTAACAGCTGCCCCTCAGGGCATGTTTACTTTTGCTGTCTTTTGGCAAGCCACAGGCAAAGAGAGGTAGATTTCTCTTCTGCTCTGTGTCAGAGATCACACTGGGAGAAAACCAAATACAACCTTTAGCTCTTTGAAATTAACTCCACTGTTGTGCCAAAATGCCATTTTCCAAGTTTCTAGTGTCTAATGTCTGTACTCTCCCGCTGCTCTGTCACTTGTCTCTACAAAGCTGATGATTACCTCCAAATGACTTGACTTTTCCTCCCCTCTTCCACCTTGAAAAATGTAACTTGTGACTGCAGCTCAGCCACCTTCTCTTACATATTTCAAAGACAGCATTGTCTGTTTTGATGTGTCAAGCCCAGCCCTATCTCCTCTGACTGACACAGCCAGTCCCTACCTTGAGTCATCTGCCTGCCTTGTGCTCCCACATCCCCCCCATCCCAGAATGGAGTAAATTCCTTGTTTAGGAAGCACAGAGGACAGCCAGAGAGCCAGGCTATGCCAGGTGCAGAGCATGCCACTGAGGCTCTGTCTGCCCACCACCAGCACCAGAACACACTGGTTGGGAAATCACATTGCAACTCGAATTTTTGTAATGTCACCTCCCCAGATGACACAAGCTAGACTGGCAAAGTCCATCCCCAGTCCCAGTGGGGATTTTGTCAGCCCAGCATGAGATGCTGGGGTCACAGTGCTTGCTCCAGAGCCCAAGTGCCAGTGCTGCCCTGCTGGGTGCTGCTGCTATGGCCAAGGGGAAAGACAAGCCTGGCGCCACCTTATCAAAATGTGCCCAACTTAATCCTGCACCACTGCTTTGAGCTAGACTAGGATCTGGCCTCTTACAATTTCCTCATCTCCAGCTGAAGGGATCAGCCTTCCCTCTCCATGCCTCACTGACTCCTCCCATCAATTCTTTCCCTCTCCCAGCACATAAAGTGCACACACTTTTACCAGATTAATTGCACTGTATTTTGCCATGGAGCAACACTGAACAAACATAATGATGTTTGCATGCAGCACCAAGCAGAGCAACACAGAGCAATTCAAAGTTCTGCTCCTATAAATTATCCAGGAGTGTCCTTGCCACTAGCCCAGGCTGGGAGAAATGGAAATTCCAGGCCATTGGAAAGGAGGTCCAGGTGAGCCTCTGGAGCTTATACTAGGAAAGATAATGACTTGCCTAAACAGTGCCAAAAGTATTTTATACTAAAGTAAAAGTGAGAATTTGCTCATTGCAGGCTTAACAGAGGGCAAACTGGAAGAAGAAAAGCTGGAGAATCTCAGCTAACCAGGTTAGTTTTATGTCTGCTGAGCTTCTTTCCCAGTGAAACCAGTAGTGTTTGAATTTTCAGCAAACACATGAGGCAAAGCATTGACCAAAATGCAAATGAGCAGATTTTTTTCCAATAAGAAAACCAGCTGTATTTTTAGAACACACTGGTGCGTGACTTCTGGCCTCTCTCTGACAGAAAAAAATACGCTGACATTTGTCACCAATTTCAATCTGAAACTATTCTTTTTATAGTAAAAAGACTGTGTCTGGTTGGGGCACATTGATTTCTCAACTGGCCCATAATCATAGAATCATGGAATGATAAAAAGGTTTGAGTTGGAAGGGACCTTAAAGATCATTCAGTTCCAACTCTCTGCCACGGGCAGGGACACTTTCCACTAGACCAGGTTGCTCAGAGCCCCATCCAACCTGGCCTTGTACACTTCCAGGGATGTGGAATTGGGCACCCTGTGTCAGGGTCTCACCACCCTCACAGGGCAGAATTTCCTTTATATATCTAACCTAAATCTCTCCCCTTTCAATTTAGATACTCTGAAAGGCACCTGGTTCTGCACACCTCACATCCCCTGGCTGCAACCTGAAGCTGATTTATGAACTGCAAAGAAAATGCCTGGGGAAGTAGTGTTTTTACTAAAAAATTCACACCTTCTCTTGTTCCTGGAGACAGCTCTGGGCCTCTGAGCAGATCTGTGCTCCTATGCAAAGCTGAACTTTCACTTCCCCAGTGGCTCAGCCCATGCCTGGATATTGATCACGAGTTACCACCCTCCCTGATCACACCTCAGACACCTGCACAAGGAACCCAGAAATCCTCAGAAGGTAACCATGTCTAACACACAAATAACCCTACCCAGAGTGCTGCTCTCAGAGGACACAGTGATTGAGCAGGGCCCCAAAACCTGAATCACTTCCACCTCTGTGCAGGTGAATCACGGGGCAGCACAGGGGTAGTTCATCCACCCTTGCTCTGGTCTCTGAGCCTCACACACTGCCTGCACCATGCTCTTTGAGAAGCATTAGAGAAGAGGGCAATGACAAGCCCTCAGACACTGTGCTGGAAGTCCCAAGCAGCAAACAAGAGGTGCAGGTCACTGGAGACAGGATTAACCCTGTGAAGGCAAAAAGCATCTTCAGATGTGCCTTGGGTTTCTGCCCCCTCCAGCAGCAGCAAGGAGTGCTCAGCATCACACAGGCTTGAACTATGCTATCTCCCCTCTCTTGGTGTCTTCCAAAAGCAAGGTTTTCCATCTCCTTCTGCTCTCTGCGAGGCCCCAGCACTGTGCTCCTGACAGCTCACACCCTCCAACAGACTGCTGCAGATGGGAGCTGCCCTGTGGGGACCAGTCAGTGTTTCTTTGGGGAGAGAGGGGTGAGGGCATGCTCCAATTCTTTTAATTTCAGCTGTTTCACAGAAGTTGCAATGAGGGTCATTTGGAGGTCCTTTGGGGTGGTCTTTTTTTTTGTTTTTTACAATATTTTGTGGTATAGCAAAGTTTTCGCATCTCAGATTTTATTTTTTTTTTTATTTTACCTTAAGTAGTAGGAAATAAAGATACTGAAAAAGAAAACAACATTTGCAAAACCACGTAATATTGTAAAACAAAAAAAGAAGGGACTTACCTGTGCCCCTAAGAGGGGGTGAGTGGAGCTCTGGGGTGGGTGTGAGGTTGCTGGCACAGTGCATGCCGGGGCATCGCACAGAGGGGCCCAGCCTCTGCCAACTTGAAAAGGAAAACAAAAGCTACGTCAATGGAGCACCCTGAGCCCCCTCCTGAGCTCTGCTCTGTGGGACAGCCAGCACAGGAGTCTGGGGGGCAGCTGGTGGCACTGGGGTGCCACCAAGGCTCAGCAATAACGCACCAGAGCAAGGAGCTGAAGACCTGCGCGTCACCCCTAGAGCATCCAAACACATCCTGGTGGCAAAGCACAGCCTGAGTCAGACAGCACCACTGGGCCCCTGCTCTGCTCAAAGTCTGCTGCTTATCTCCAGATTCCCAGCTCCAAGCTTCCCAGAGATGCCTCTCTCTGGTTCTCTTTCCCCTATGCTATAGCTACCTGACCTTCCTGCAGACCTGCAGGTGAAATGCTCCATGTAGAAAACCTGTCAGATGTAAAAGAAGACGGAACCTGATTTCTGCATCTTCAGAAAAAAACCCAACAGGGTTCTGAAACAGGAACAATTAGAAGGTTTGGCTGCCAGGCTCTGACCACTGTCACCTTCAACTGAAGCATAAAAGACTCCCCAATGTTCAACCAAAGGAAAGTAATGGGTCATAAAGCTGCACACACAGAAATGTATTTATTAGTGGGATTCATTCCAGGACGGGCAATAATGACTGTTTTGTTGCTATGAGGTGTTTCTGGGAACTCTCCTTTATTCCTGGTTGGATTTGTGTTGTATTTTGGTCTCGTTCTGGTTTTTTTTTAATTACACAGACTCCTCTCCAGGATATTCCTACAGCAGAGCAGACTTGCATTATGCCCCATTGCAGCAATCAGATCAGTGCATGCAGATGTCAGCCCAGGCAGTGTCCAGCTCACTCCAGAGGTCTCAGGCCAAGGATCCAGCTGCAGGATCTGTGAGATCCAACATCCATGCACCAAACTGGGGCTCAGTGTTTACAAGGCAATGCAGTTGAGACCTCCCTTTCCTCTTTGTGCTTGGTTGGTTTTATATGTTCAGTAATCCCTCATCCTTTTTTTTCCTTACCTCATCTTTTATATTAAATCGTGACGGTTCTTGTCTGCTTCGGTTTGACCTCCTAACCCCATAAACATCAGGATATTCTTCCCACATCTGCAAAATAAACAGACCATCAGAAGGCCTGCTTCACCCCAATTTTTGACATTTTAGAGAAGTTTGATGGTGGCTTAAAAAAAATCAACCAAAAAACCATTAGGGAATTAGCAACCAGCAGATGGACAGTTTAAAAACTGGCTGGAAAGATTATTATTATTATTTTGGGATATCTCACACCTTTCTAAAGTGGCATGTGTTATCTCAGGGTTATCTTTACAGTGATCCATCTTTCCACTGAGGCACAAATCACACTCCAGCTCACACAGGCTGAAGGACAGAGTGTTGAGGTAACCAGCCCTCTGCAGCACTGGTGCCAAAGGAATGGAGGCAACACCTTGGACGTGGAATGAACAGACCTAACAACTCAGCAGGGCAATTCTCTGTCACTAACAGCTTCCAGCACAATTCCTTTCCTGTGGAAAGCCCCACCACCAGCCTGGAGACATGGCCAGCTGCAGCTTCAAAGGTGAATTCTGTGGGCCAGCCTGGATGGCAAATGGAGCAAGATACCCTGTCATTTGGCAAGGCAAGGCAGTGGCTGCTGGTTCCTTTCCTGAATGCACTGATGGGAATGTGGTTTGGCAGTGCAGGACACATGGATGTGCAGAGGTGACTGCTGGCAATGGCTGTGCTCTTTGCTGTAAAACGAGGCCCTCACCAGTTCAATACACTGAGTATAAGAGCATGCAATTGTTCTTGTGGATGGGCAGGAGAAGGAGACACAAAAAAGGATGCCCTGAGGGGGATGAATGCAGAGCTGTGTTGGTGACACAGGACACAAGAGTTATAGGGCAGACACAAACCACCACCATGCCCCTCTAATTCCTACACCAGCAATTCCTCTCTCCCTCAGCAGAGCTCTTAGTTCTCTATATCATTAATTTTCTTCTGCTTCTCTCTCCTTCCAATCCTCAAATACCTCTGCATGCCACTGGCAGGAAAAGGAAATCGAACTATGCTGTGATGGGATTGAGAGTGTGATAGATATGAGGCTGCAGCCCAGCAATTTTTCTGCCTCTGTTAAAGCAGTAATGGGATAAGGGACAGACTGTGACAATGTGTTATCTGTTGGGCATGCAAGCACTGAGGTACATTCTCATGAAAGAATAAACTCTCAAATTTAAATTTAATGCTACCTCCCCAAACCATTTGAAGAACTTGTTTTTTCATCTATTAAATGGCATGGGTTTTGAATGTGGGAGCAACTTCCATGACAAATCTTAATAGCACAGATTAACCTCGCCTTTATGGGTGTATCTAGGCAAATACCAAATAAACAATAATAATTAATTGCATTGGTTATTCAAGGGGAAGATGTATCAACATGCCTAGGTTAGACCTAGCTAAGGAAGACACCCATTAACAGAGAAATTAAGGAAGGGAGAGGCTTTCTTATTAAAGGGTGTCCTGACCTTTTCATGTTTCACTCGTGCTAATTATCACCCTGGGTATGGATGCACTTCCTCACAGGATAATGTTAACATTTATTGTTAGGGACATGCTCTTAGAATCCTTCAGAGGGAGAGAAGACTTCCTTTGGTGCCCACTTAGCAACAATAGACCACAGATTTTAATATGGTGTTACCACAGATGCCTTATAAACTCATCCTCCCTTGTCAGTCTAAACACTGGAGGATTTAGCCACTAACTGAACCAGCAGCCTGGAGCTTTGGGGAGTGAGAAGGTGGTAACAAAATCCTTCATTTCTTCCTGGCAGGTCTGTGGGGAGCACAGGCTGGAAGCACTGCCCTTCCTCCTTATCCTTTACACACACACAGCACCTTTCTCCATAAAACTCACTCTGGGGAGCAAGCTGTGCCCAGTGCAACCCACGGCTAAGAACAACAGGATGGTTACACACCACAAACAAACAAAGCTGACCTAACCAGACTTTTCTCCTTCCAAGTGAACTCAGTTCACTGAGCTCCTGTCTCCAAATGGTATTTGGGCTCCTCTTTCTCACCTCACACTGCCCTGTGTTAGTAAGGTGCCTCCATCCCTCAGGTAAAGCAGGTACCTGAGGGATACTGCTCATGGTATCCCCCTGCACACCCTTCTGCCCTGGGGTGTGCAGAGGGATACCATGAGCAGTAACACCCATAATTCCACTTCCTGCTGGACAGTAAGTGGAGGGAAAACCTAACTATTTGAGGGGAGGAGCTGGGGAAAAAAAAAAAAAACAAAAAAAAACACAACAAAGAAGCACTGTTCTGTTCTGGACTTAATAAATAATAGAAGTTCTTTTTTTTTTTTTTTTTTTCTCCTATGCTTTTTTGAGAGGAAGAGTGATGTAAAGAAACCAAAGTGGTTCAAACTTCAAACCCTAGACAAACTTCAGACCTTTTTCCTGCGTATTTATTACATGGGGAAGACTTTACTGCTTTTGAGAGAGAGACAGAATAGAGGAGTGGAAAGACAGAGGGAGAGGATGAAATGACAGGATCATGTACTGATGACAGGCACCTGCCCCTCATTCACACCAGTCAGCCCTGCCACCATCTACTTGGTGCCCCAGGGGTTGTTCCACAAACACAGCAGCTCCTGCTCTCCAGGTGACAGCAGCAGGGCTCCAGCACACAGCCCAAACAGCCCCTGGGGACACTGGAGGTCACAGGCTGTTTGGTCCATGTGCAAAGTGGCCAGGAAGTTGGTCACAGCTTCACTGAGGTCCTGCTGCCTGACCTTCCGTGGTGGGGACAGGAGTAACTTGTCCGTGCAGAGCAGCAGGGGCAATACCTTTTTAACATCTGCTATCCTTTCCTTCTTAGAGGCTGGTTTTTCTTTGGTTTCAGGAGGGGTCTGCTGGGATTTGGAACCCGTTGATTCACTTTCGGATTCAGACTGACTCTCAGAGGACTCGGAGCTGCTGTTTGACTCGCTGCCCTGCTCACTTTCAGACTGGCTTGCAGAGTCAGAGCCAGAGGCTTCTTCGGATGCCGAGTGACTAATGGTAGAGAAAGAAGAGGTTACATTTTAACTGCACTGACACAGCTGTCAAATACGCAGGGAGCAAACCTGAGACACATCCTGAGCCACAACAACAGGTTTGGAAAAGCCTGAATGCAAGTGTGGACCCTGTGTGTACACCCCACACTGGTATTCTGCAGCAGAGGCAATACTTTCCCAGGACTGGCAGTGAACACAGGTGAGAGTGCAGCCCCAAAAATCCCTGTCCAGGATCTCCTGCTCATCACCAGAACAAAAGCAGTGGAGGTAGGTGAGGAGAAGCATCAGCAGTACCAGCAGCACAGGTTCTCCTGGGAGGCTCTGGGTGTCTTGGAGTGAGGCAGAGAAAGGCACAGCAGGGGCTGCAGCATCCACGGACCATCCTGCTACATTAAAGGTGAGCAGCTGTTCCAGCACGGCTCTCCACTGCATCCCTGCGAGGCCAGTGGTTCCAAATAAACCTGATATCCGCTTTCTGGAAGAGGCCAATATCAAAAACGCTATGCCCATAATACCATGAATGAAGTTAAATGTAATGTTTTTTGCAAAAATAATTAATTCAGCAACAGGGAAGAAGAAAGCTTATATGGGTTTGTGGCTGGGGCAGCTCCTCTTTAAAGGATTACACCAGAGCTGTGCAGGCTGCATTTCTCAAGCCAATAATGGGAGAGCAGAACACTAAGTAGGTGTAGTTCCCCCGCTTTTTTTTCTTTTTTTTTTTGTATCTTTATATAAAAATGGGTTAACACCCAGTGTATCCCCTTAAATAAAAGCTCCTCAACAAAACAATGAGAAGCCAAACTATTTTAGGTGGCCAAAATATTCAAATACCTTTGCCCAATCACTCCCAACATATATATTTTTTATTTTAAGAGCCAAAAAATCAAACTGAAATCTCAGGACACCTTACCACACGTATGCTGCAAGGCAGCATTCAATCCCCACTGCCACAAACAAAACCACAGTGACAATGCCACAAACTTTTGGAACAAGGATCACCCCTTTCCCAGTCAGCTTTCCACTGGCAGCCGGACGTGTTTGTGATATTTAAAGATTCATTTAGGTACAATACTATGAAAGAAGAGTCAGGAAAACTCTGCAGAGGAATTAAACAGATTTTTTATTTTTTTTTCTACTTTTGTACAAAAAGCGACAAAGCACATGAAAGGCTTTGCTCAGATTTCATGATTCAAGGGGGAAACAATACAAAGAAAAATTAAAAAAAAAAAAAAAAAAAAAAAAAAAAAAAAAAAAAGAACCCAAACAAAAACCAACCCAAAGCAAGCATGTGCACATGTACATTTCCATCCGACTCCGCAGGGTTACCATGTGGGGATGCCCGGAGGGAGCGCGGCCCGTCCCTCTCCCGGCCGGGCAAATCCCGGGATCGCGGCTGTGGGCCGGGAGGCGGGCAGGGGGCAGCACCCGCGCGCCCTCAGGCGCCGCCGCCGCCATTTCGTGACCGCCCCTCCGCCGCCATCTTGCGACCGCGGGGCTGAGCCCGATCCCGGGGATACATCCCTGGGATGGATCCCTGGCACTGCCCCAGGGAAGGGGAACCGTGGGGAGCGCGAACCTGAGGGGGCACAGAGCCCCTTCCTCAAGGAGCGGGGGCAGCCATCACCCATGGCTGCTGTTTCACCGTCCCAGCCTGGGTGTGAGGGAGCTGGGTTATCACATTGTGTCCTGCAGGCAGGGCTGGAAATTCAGATTGAACCACGGCCATCTCAGACTGCCCAGGCCCTGTCCATGGATGGAGGTTGTCCATGAGAACTAAAGGCACAGTGTCTCACTACACCCCTTGTTCTGTGGGCTTTACAACAGTTCCCCCCCTTGTCCACCACAGCTCTCCATTGCCACAGCCATGACCTGTGGTGGTGCCACAGCCTTCACCCATGGTGGTGCCACAGCCTTCACCCATGGTGGTGCCACACTGCTCCTGGCAATGGCACTCCAGCAGCTCTGGGGACAGATGGTGTCCATGGGCAGGGCTCAGCAGGCACCATCCCACTGGGCCTCCACAAAGGAATGGGATCTGGAGGCATCAGGCCCTGCTTGAGGCATTTTGGTGTCTCCTGTCCCACTGGGACGCGTGGAAGAGGAAGCCAGATTTTCCTTCAATCAGATTTCTGAGCTGGAATAGGAATTTTAACAGCCCAGGCAAGACTGAGGCCAGACAGCTCTGACAGCATTTGTTTAGAGGCAGAACAGTAATTTAGAGTTTAGAGGCAGAACTGTCCTCTTCCTGCTCTGGAGCTCTTTGTTCGTCAAAGCCTTAAGCTTTATTTGAAGGACACAGGGACACAGGCTCTCTGCACATCAAGAGCCACATGTGCTTTATCCACAACATTGTCTGAACACTAATTCTTTTTTTTTGGCTGTGAACTGTGCCATCTGAAAAGAGGGAGACTTCTCTGATGGCATACACATCTGTATGTGCAGATATTTGCCTGCACACCTGCTTCCCCTACTAAGGAAAGAAACACAGATGAGAAGTGGTAATGTCCTTTTGAAGGCTGTTGCAAATAATGTATTTTTTTTATTAAAGAACAACCTGTTATTGAGGCAAAATATGTGTTTATCTTCTTTTCTATGTTGATCAGATAAAAAATAACTGAAAGGTCTGTTTTCATAAAAGAATCCTTTCTAACTGTCACTGGGACAATCAGGAAGCATTTCTACCTGCCAACAGAATATAATGTACTAGCAACATTAGATGTCAAATCAGGCCTAACACTACACTACTAACTAGTACTAACACCTAGAGACCTAAGTCCTCTTTTCAGAAGTTATTTCTGGAATTTGTCCTGGTTTAATACCCCTGAGTTAGCATCCAAACAAGACCTACTTCCAATTAAACTAATAGTAAGAAATAAGCTATAATTATTTGTCACAAAAATCACAATTCAGCCAGACCACTCTCCTCCAAAAACACCCATGAACATGAAAAGAAAGCAACAGATGGACCATTGGTAATTTCTTTGAAGAAACTAAAAAAAAAAAAGTTGAGATCTGCAAAGACTCAGCCAAATACATTCCTCTGGTTTCTAAGAAGTACTTTAGGCTTTAAGTCTGGTTTAATTAAGAGCTTGCTGCTGACTTGAAGGGGAGCAAAACTAAATCATTCCTTACCAAGAAGGACATTATCCTTCCAAGAAATAAGTAGCTGAAAGGCAGTGATAAGACCCTTTACAGTGAGGCGTCTGAATTTAAAAGGCAATTACCACATGACTGAAGCCTCCAGACTTTGCATTTAATATTTCACATATGACTTCCTTTTATAGGGGATCATCTTTGCAAACAGCAAATCATTTGATAAGTTCTCAGCAAGAACTAACAGTAGATCTGCTTCCAGAAGGTGTCAGACAGCTGAAAAAATGACCCCAATATGCATTTGTGAAATCAGGAACTGACTGGGGAATGGCTCTAACTGGGACCATTCTGCCCCAGCGTTTAAAATGTGGCTTTTGAGGGACAGAACTTTAATTCAGACAGGGGAATAAAGGAGGATTAATAACCCAACACCCTCCCACAAGCAAAGCTCCTCCCAGCTTTAAGAACTGTTGGGAATGTTTTGAATCTAAACAAGTTTGAATCCCAACAGCAACATTCCACTGAGCTTCGCAATCTCTGCAGGGATTCGGCAGCAGCAAAACCACCCTGTGAAGGCTGGAGAAGAACCTTGGCAGATTATCCCATGGCTGGATAACATCGGGGGCTGGGTGACAGCAGGAGCCGTTACATTTAACTCCTGTGCATTGCTGGCCACAGCATCAGAGTGCTGCGGGTAAGTGACACCCAGGTGCACACCAGCAGCTCACTGGCACCAGAATGCCCCAGCAGGTGGCTGGGACACAGCCCCTCCCTGCTCACCGTGTTCCCAGCACTGGCTGGACCTGCTGGGCTTCCTGATACCACACCTGGACAGCCCAGAGAAACAGCAGCTCACTGCCAGCTTAAGCCCAGGCAGGACCAAGCCTTTACAGTAACAGGAACAGTGGAAATAAACTGCACTTGGCAGTGCAGGTGAGTTGCAGAGTGGACAATGTAACAATAGCTTGGACTCAATGATCTCAGGGGTCTTTTCCAATCTCATAGATCCTGAGAAGAGGGTGAGCAGCCCAGGGTTGGAGGAGCTGCTGGGTCAGCCCAAGGATGTCTGGCAGAGCCAACTCCACCCAAGAGGGACTCCTGAGCCCCCACAGGTCTTCAGCTCAGGCTGCCAGCTGCCACTCCCATCCACCAGCAGAACCAACCTGAGATTTACTCCAAAGCATAGAGTAGCAAGGCCTGTGCAAGCCACCAACTTAAAACTATTTAAACAGATCTGTCTTCCTAAAGTGACCTGTACAAACTGTGGGACACACAAGCATGGTGACAAACCACAGAAAGGGCAAACACATCGACTGAGATGAGGACTGGCTGCTGTTAAACATTTCCTTTTAATATCTGATCTATAAATGTGATGTTCCCTATTATGAAAAGAAACTATTTACAAGAACATGTAGTGACAGAACAGATAGGAATGGGTTCAAACTGAAAGGAAGTCGGTTTAGATTAAATATTAGGAAAAATTCCTTGCTGTGAGCTTGCTGAGGCACTGGAGCAGGTTGCCCAGACAGGTTGTGAATGCCCCATTCCCTGGAAGCATTTTGAGGCAGGTTGGATGGGGCTGTTGAGCAGCCTGGTCTAGGGGAAGGTGTCCCTGCCTATGGCAGGGAGGTTGGAATGAGATGATCTTTGAGTTCCCTTCCAACCCAAACCATTCTATGTTTCTATATAAACATATATGAAATGGCTACATATATTGCAAATACAAACAGGCACCATCAATGTTGATATGTGCACTCAAGTCACAGGGTAGCTGTAAAAAGGCACTAAACTAAATTTAACCTTTAGGCTAAACAAGCCAGGGAGAAGAACACAAGATGGGTTCTAGTTACAGATCAGTAGATAAAGAGAAGATAATACGGGTAGCACAGAGGACTGAGCAAATAC